GCCAATGGACGCTAGGGGACTTCGGCAAAGTTCCGCACAGTGCAGTCACATTGCTGGGCTGCCTCTCCTGAGGATAAGGGTATTCCACCATGCCTAAGGATGATGTCTTTTACGCAAATGTCTTCTCCCCTTGTTCTGAAAAGTCGCTTGGCTGATGGGGAGTTGTCCCTGCCCACTGGCAGGAGAATCTCTTCCCAGTCTGTCCGCATGTCAACCACGAAGGTCACGGAACACCCAGGCATACTAAGGGCCTATGATGTCCATCGTCTCAGTTCAAAGGTGGCAGCAGGCCACACAAGCTAAAAGGCCACCAGTGCCAACCAAAGCAAGGGATTGGACGTGGTGGAAAACAAACAAGTAGTGCTCAAAAGTAAAGTCGTAGAGGGCATAGGCAGGGTGCTATGCATCATCCAGCAGGTCTGATCAAGAAAACCGCCAAACCAAGTCTTGGGGCCTCGCCCTGGAGTTCAGGTCCAGGTAGGAAATTCCCAAAGGCACACCTGAGGATGCCACGTTCTCGATGTCATCCACATATGCGGCCAGTGCAGTGATCAACTGCAAGTGGAAAGGTTGGCCTCCGCCACCGCTTCTTCCTCATGCATGTTTAACCGGATGGCCTCCGTTAGGGAATGCTGTGTTTGCGTTCCCCCCGGTTGGTGGACTGTTGGACCCCCTGAGCACAGGGCGTTGCCAAGGGAGCTATCAGATGCCCAAGGTTGCCAGTCTTGAGGTTGAGCGCAAAGGTGGTGGCCCGGCCTGGGGATGGTTTCCCATCCCCGAGGTCTGGTCTTGAAGCCCGATTGGACAATGATGGGGCCAACAGCCATGGTCATTGCTTGTGGAAGGGACACCGAGGAGGATCTGTCAGTCCTTTCCCTGTGTGGATATGTGGTGCTCTGGGATCAAACTAGTGCCGATGGCCTGGGCCAGGCCCATCATCATTTCCTCTGGGTACCTGCTAGGGTCTGGTGGTGATTCAGGGTCAAGGCCCCTTGCGCATATACTTCTGTAGTCCAAATAGATGGATGAGCACTTTGTAGCGGCCGGCGGCCGGCACCAGGCTGCAATCCAGTGGGTCCTTTGGGTGTTCCAAAACGGAATGAACCACCTGCTGGCCGCTGGCCTGATGCGCCAGGGCTGTGATTACCATCTGTCTGAGCAGCAGAAGGCTGTCCCTGTCCGTTGTCTCAAGCCGCCAGGCTCTGAGGAAACGCGTCCCCAGAGCACCTGGTTTTGGAAACCATCTGAGAGGACAGTTTGGGCCACCCCCAACAGACTGCCATTGGCCCAGGCAGTGCCACAGAGTTGTGAAAAAGTAAGACATCGTCAAGGAAGTCCTGGTCTCCCTGTCCAACAGGTGTTTGTCCGAAGGAGAATGACTACGGTGCCAGATGCTACCGGGCCACAATCCCCCATAGCAATTCCTGGCAAAATCCCTACCTCAGGCAGGCTGGACTCTGGCTGCAGCCAACTCATTGATCTTCCGGAGGCCCTCCAAATCCGGATTGCTCAGTCCGAGTCAAGTTGTTCTTCTAGAGAATTTGTCTCAAGCCGCCGAGCTCTGAGGAAGTGCGTCCCCAGAGCACCTGGTTTTGGAAACCATCTGAGAGGACAGTTTGGGCCACCCCCAACAGACTGCCATTGGCCCAGGCAGCGACACAGAGTTGTGAAAATAAGACATCGTCAAGGAAGTCCTAGTCTCCCTGTCAAATAGGTGTTTGTCCGAAGGAGAATGACAACGGTGCCAGATGCTACCGGGCCACAATCCCCCGTAGCAATTCCTCACAAAATCCCTACCCCAGGCAGGCTGGACTCTGGCTGCAGCCAACTCATTGGTCTTCCGGAGGCCCTCCAAATCCGGATTGCTCAGTCCGAGTCAAGTTGTTCTTCTAGAGAATTTGTCTCAAGCCGCCGGGCTCTGAGGAAGTGCGTCCCCAGAGCACCTGGTTTTGGAAACCATCTGAGAGGACAGTTTGGGCCACCCCCAACAAACTGCCATTGGCCCCGGCAGTGACACAGAGTTGTGAAAATAAGGCATCGTCAAGGATGTCCTGGTCTCCCTCTTTGTTTGACGTTTGATGTCAATTGCCAGAACCTTGTGCTCCACATTGGGCCGTATACGGGCAAGGACCTGGTCCAGTGCCCCTGTGTCCTGACAGGTCCTGTGGGCCCATGTACAGGGGCAGCAAGAACAACCCCTGCAGCGCGGCAGTGGGTTCCCTAATCAATACCAGTCACTCCAGAAGCCTGGAATCCACGAGCGACCACCTGTGCGAGGAGGCCCCCCGTGCTGTCCTGTGAAAATCTTCTCGTGGTGATGGTCCGTCAGGTGGGGAGCGCCCCCGAGCTGAGGCCTTGTTTGTACTCACTTCCTCCCGTCTGTAATGGCCTAGCCTAGTATTAAAGCCCGATTCCGTCAGGCGACAGGGTGGCAAAGTGCCAATCCACTGACATCTCACAGTTGGAAGTGTCAAATAAACATGGCGGCACGTCAACAAACATGCCAATCTGACCTGAAAGCTCACAGTTTCACGCACTGTCATATAGACATGGCGGCACACCAACAAACATGCCAATCAGACCTGACAGTGCGAAGTTCAGGTTGAAAAACATGCCATACGAACCCTGCAGAAAAACTGCAAACATGCCGATCCCCCCTAAGAGTCTACTGTTTGGAACATGTCAAATAAACATGGCGGCACACCAGCAAACATGCCAATCTGAACTGACAGTTCGAAGCTATGTTTGGAACTCATCACAATACAGGGGGGAGACCGCAAACAAGCCGGTCTAACCTGACAGGTCCCAGGTTGAGCAAGGCATCTCCACATGGCGGCATGCCCACAAACATGCCAATATCTGACCTGACAGCTGAAGTTAAGTCTTAAAAACAAGCCGTAAGAACATGGCAGCAGTACTGCACGCATGCCAATCCAAATTCAGCCAGACTGCAAACATGCCGATCCAACCTGCCAGCGCACACAGTTTGGAGCATGTCATCATATACTGTAAGCATGGCGGCACACCAGCAAACATGCCAATTGGAGCTGACAGTTCGAGTTGAGTACGGCATATAAACACGGCGGCATGCCCACAAACATGCCAATCTGACTTGCATCAGGGACTCCTCACTCTTGATAGGTAGCTTGTCTTGAGGAACCCAAAATCCAATTGCTCCGGGCCAGCGCCAGAGACTGCTGCCAGTGGGGGGCGACCCAAGTCTCCCACTTCCACAAAGCCAGAATCCTTAGTGACCTTAGCATCTGCCAACACCCCAGTTGGTCCAGCCTCAGTGAGCCTTAGTTGCCAGTTCTGTCCTTCCACTGCGATGACCGAGAGCGGGGTGGAGCTCAGGTCAATGGGAGAAGAGCCCTTGCAAAGAAGACACTTGGGAAAAGTTCCCCATGGTGCATTACAATCAGAGCAAACCAGTTTTGGGGCTGCCCCCGGGTCCTCCTCTTGCAACTGTGTCATGGAACCACCTCGTTGGACTGTGTGGCACACCTTCAGCAGCTCGTTGTGCTTCGCAGCCCGTTTGGCGATGCAGTAGACCTCCAAGGTCTTCGCCATTCAACAAAGATTCCCAGCCTTCAATGGTGAAGGTGTTTGTGCTCTGGTCCACCTGGGTTGTCAGCGTCTCCTTCTCAAGAGTCCGCATGGTCGCCATGGAGGCTTGTTCTGCCGATTGAACGAAACCTGGGGGGGCTTTGGCGCCAGAAGCTGCCACACTCACCTCAGGCTTTGGCTCCAGTCCCAGCTCTGCCATCACCTTCTCCGTCTCTTTAAGCTGGTTGGCCAGGGTCTCCTTGGTGATGGCTGGGTCAGGGTCACATTCAAACTCCATCTCAACTTCGGCCGGTGCAGCCTCAGTTGTTGGAAGGTTAAGTAGCATGTAGTCCTCCCCTTCAGCCACGTCCGTTCCCACCAAAGAAAAGAAGCAACAGTGCCCGTCTCACTCGCCATTGAGCTCGAAGACGCCATAGTCGAATGGAAAACGGATTTTTCGAGTGCTTAGATCACAAGGGGAGGACTTGAGCCAAAATGGCATAGCCATTTTGGCAACTATATCGTCAACACATTACTTGCTCTCCACAAGTTCCAAGCAAAGAAACAAATATACATATTCTATATTGATTTATCCATCTAGTGCAATGTATCCATTCAGTATTTGCAAATACGTATGCATCTATATATATGTATGTATGTATGTATGTATGTATGTATGTATGTATGTATGTATGTATGTATGTATGTATGTATGTATGTATGTATGTATGTATGTATTGCATACATTCAAAAAATGATTTTATATATATATATATATAAATAATAACAATAACAATAATAATATTAATAATATATATATATATGTAGATGCATACGTATTTGCAAATACTGAATGGATACATATAATAATAGTATTTCTCTATTTATTAAACATATATGTATATATAAACTGTGCCCATTTAATGGTCATTTGTACTGTAATATGACCAGCTGCGTCCACCACAATCGATGCATCCACCATTGCATATCCCGACGCTTGGGCACATGAAATTCTGGGAAATTCGCATGGCCTTGCAGTTAAAGCTTGACGCGAAGCATTTCTGGTCCTTGGAGCTCTAGGACTCTAGGAGACTTGGAGCAAAGCTGGGCGATGAGGGGCCTGTCCAAAATTTGTATATGAACCCCCCAGCGATTGCAAATGTTATCAAATTATCACAAAAATGATGATCAATCATCAGGTTTGGGGGGTTCACTATTTTCCAGACGAACCCATACAAGATTTCTGGGTGTGAGGGGTGTAGGGGCCAAACGCGAAACAATAAAATTCAAAAATTGCTGCCAACGTTAAAGGGACCAGCTGTACGGTTTGATTCCGGATATGAAATGAATAAACGAGCCTGAAACCAAACTGCAAATATGACATGTTAGCATAGTTAGTACATGGAGATAAACACATATCATGCAAATACGAACCAAAGTGCAGCCACAACCCCCTACATCATCCTAGATCCAACAGCTCCTCCATCTAAAGCGAGCCCAGGCACCTTGTCCTTCCAACCACAGAGTGTTGCAGAGCTATCAGTCCGCTGGGTGCAGGAGTCGTAGTCCTTGGAATGCAGGAAGTTTGGATTCATCCCCAAATTTACAATAAATGGATTGAACATGATTCAACGATCAATCCATGTGGGTGTTTCATGATTGCTTTCATAGTAATACCAATAAATGTTTTATATTCCCAATATAATACCATAAATTCCCAATATATCATCAAGCCACCGAATGTTAAGATATCCGTAGGGATACCTCATATATTCCCAAAATGTTAAGATAGCCATTTTGAGGTCCCATAAAAATCACCAAGCCACCGAGCGCCCGCTGCAGTCATTGGTGCCGTCCAGGACCTGGTAACACAACGTGTTACCTCGGCAGATGTTCGGCGCTGCGGAAAAAGAGGGGAGTTAACATGGTTTGACATGGTTTAACCCAATCGAAAATAGGGGTTGAACATGGTTTAACGTGATTTAATGTGGTTTAACTATGGTTTAACTATGGCTTAAACATCCTGACATGATGATGTATCAATTAGACATGGATTACAGCTAATCCAAATTTAAATATCACCCTGGCAACCCTCGCCCAGCACTCCAAAATTGGGGTGTATGCGTTATGGTGGTATATGTAATATTTGGGGAGTTTCTCATTATTCATTGTTCAATTTTGGGGTTGCCAGTTGCGTCTAACTCATACCTGTATCTTCTGAGAGTTCCATCATTATGTTCCATATGTTGGGATTCAAAATGGTCATACGCTTCATATATAGATAACTACACATATGTGGTTGAAACATGTTGAAACCACCAAAATCATGGATCCGCCTACGCCAGGTAGGTCTGCTGAAATAGGCAGACCAACAAACTTTGGGAGCCTCCCATAGCTCGGAAAAAAGTCGACGCCGAGGAACGCGAACAGCGACCAGATTCGATGCTGAAGCAGCTGGCCCCATTCCACTGACATGGCCTTCCATGAGGATCCGCAGCCCCCTGGCAGGCGGTAGTTTCACGGTTAGCATCATGCCACTGTTTCGATGGGAAATCATTGGAAATAATGGATGAACCATGCTGAAGCATCATCATCAAATCGGTGATCACACTATTTCAAACAGACTCATTTCTGGACTCTCAGAGTTGAGTCTCCAAGTTGTTTTTCCTGAGGTGGTTTTGTCCAGTGTTCTAGGCCATGTCCATTGTTTCTAAGAAAACAAGTGGATACACCACGCCGTAACTGTTTCAACATGGTTCGAAGCGCGTATGAGCATCTATGCTACTAGGATATACTAGGATGATGAAATGAATATTGTTGTTGGATGGGCTTATAGCCCTAATACTGGTTGTTGCAAAGGTTATGATCAATTTACGACGCAAGCCCAACATAACATGTTCCAAGTTCATTCTTTGGGTCTATATGTTTCAGAGAACCAAAAGATGCGCAGCCACAACACAGCAACTCCAAAATAGAAGAAAAACATCTTCAACACCCAGGGAACTGGTTTCCATCTACTTTGCGCTTCCCACATCTAGAATGTCAAGACCGGACCTGTCAACCCCAGTTGATTACTTGGGGGTGTAAAGCCAAAATGTATTCACCATCTGCTCCAAAACTTTATTTATATACCCCGACAAATATGAATAATCCTTAATACCCTGATCGAAAATTGGTTTAGCAGTGTTTTTTTCCATTCATAAATTCGGTGGCCATATGGGACATTGAATATATTAGACATTGCGGAGATAGGATGTTCGGCAATATGAATCAACTTAAGAACAAGATGAGTCAATCATCAAATATCATCAAGTGAGTATTATATACATATATCTACATATTAAGCATATACAACCCACAAAGGGAGATAGGATTCACCCATACTTCCAAAATCTCCATGGGCTACCCATGGCCCTTAAAGGCCGTTAACAGCCCAGCCCAGCGCCTCGCAACGCACCCGGTCGTCCGTTAAGCTCTCGCAGGAGCCCGTGTCCGTGTCGAGGGCGCGGCCGCTGCAGTCCACCTGAGCAATTTAACCGAAAATAATTGACAGGAAACATTGGGAAACCATGGTTTTCCCCATCAAACATAAAATACATAATTATAAATATGGAGAGATACAAAATGATATATGATATAAGGGTTTGCCAAATAATTTCATTTGAACCAATCGAAAAAATAATATCATGATGCATCGTGTTCAGAGTTGTTATTGCTGTTATAATGGCGCGAAGGTAAAATCAACATCATCAACAACAACATCATCATCAACAACAGCAACAGCAACAGCAACAACAACCACCACGACCACGACCACGACCACGACCACAACCATTATCAACAACAACCATTATCAACAACAGCCATCATCATCATCATCATCATGATCATCCTTCTCAGCCTCACTATCCTCATCATCATCCTCATCATCATCATCATCGTCATCATCATCGTCATCATCATCATCATCATCCTCATCATCATCATCTTTCTCAGCCTCATCAACCTCATATTCATTATCATCATTATCATTATCATCGTCATCAACATCATCATCATCTTTCTCAGCCTCATCAACCTCATATTCATTCTCGTCATTATCATCCTCATCCTCATAATCATCATCATCATCCTCATCAACATCATCATCATCATCATCATCATCATCCGTCTCAGCATCATCATCCTCATCCTCATCCTCATCCTCATCATCATCATCATCATCATCATCATCCCCATCATCATCATCATCATCATCATCCTCATCCTCATCCTGGTCGTCATCATCATCATCATCATCAGCATCAGCATCATCAGCATCATCATCATCAGCATCAGCATCAACATCAACATCAACATCATCATCCTCATCCCCATCATCATCATCATCATCATCATCATCTTTCTCAGCCTCATCAACCTCATATTCATTCTCGTCATTGTCATCGTCATCATCATCATCATCATCATCCTTCTCAGCCTCATCATCCTGATCGTCATCCTCCTCCTCATCATCATCATCATCATCATCACCATTCTCAGCCTCATCATCAACATCATCAACATCATCATCTTCATCACCATCATCATTCTCAGCCTCATCATCAACATCATCAACATCATCATCATCACCATCATCATCAACATTATCATCATCATTCTCAGGCTCAGCCTCAGCCCCATCATCATCATCATCATCATCATCATCAGCATCATCTTCATCAGCATCATCATCATCATCATCCTGATCATCCTGATCATCCTGATCATCATGATCATCATGATCATCATCATCATCATCACCTTTATCATCATGATCATCATCATCATTATTATCATCATCATCATCATCATATCTATCGTCATCATCATCATCCTCATCATCCTCATCATCTTCATCATCATCAGCAGCAGCAGCAACATCAACATCAACATCACCATCATCATCATCATCATCATCATGTTCATTATCATCCTCATCATCATCATCATCACCATCATCATCATCATCATCATTTCCAAGTGAATTCCCTGTGGTCCATTTGGCGAAAGCTCCATGACTCCTGGCCTTGCAGGAGAGGTAGCCTTCCAATTCGAAGAAATCCTTGTCCGGCGTGCCATGGTCGTGCACCCTCAGGCTGATGTTGCTGATCTCCGGATCGAGACCTCGCAGCTGGTGAAAACTGGGTGAAAACTGGGGTGTTTTTCCCCCAAACCATGGAACTCCTGTGACTGCCGAAAATAAATCTGCCACAATTTGCTGGTTGAATTGAATATACATTCTTTGATGGCCACAATTCCTTAAGTTTCTAAGATTTCACAACGCTGATGCTCCATTTTCCCTATGATTGATGGTTGGATTTCCCATTCTTGAAGATTGAAGTTTTCTTCTACTTGATTTCCCATGGCAAATTCACCAATGTCACATATATGTCATATTTTTTTGCCAGGCAAATTTCTATAATTTTCCCATATTTTCCCAAAAATCGATGGTTAAGAGCACCTGAGCCCTTCCCCCCCCCTGGGCCATGCCAGGCAGCCATAACGAAAGGGGAATTCCTTGGGAGTTCGTCTACCCACCAGGACAGAGCCAATGTTCTTCTCGTCCTGTGCCCCCGTACTGCTGGGGTAAGTCAATATAATTCTGCTATCTATCATCATAGCTATATATATATATTATTAATATTATATATATAATGTTATATATATATTATATATATATTATATATATACGTGTGTGTAGCTATAATTCTATACCTATATAATTCTATTCACATTGTAGATACCTATATCTAATTATATCATCTATTTTGTCATATTATATCTCATTATATATATCTACAGTTCTATGTATCATATCTTATCTAATTTTAATCAATTATACCAATTCATATCTCGGTTTTAATGAAAGATATGAACGTAGCTGTCTGGCATCCCGTAATTTTCAATAATCTTAACTCAAGGTACCGGGCCTACCGGGACCATAGCGTCCTGGAAAGTGAAGAAGGTGATTCCTTTGGCTCCCACTGGTCGCTCTTTGGTGATCCGAAGTGACCCTCAGTGACTTGGCTGTGAAGAGATAGCAATGGCACTGGCTCTAAAATGGTAAAACAGGTGCAACATGAACATGGCCCTATGAAAAATGTGGAAAGTGCCCGCGCACTTTCTGAATCTATATATCTTTTGAAATTTCGTTTATCATCTTTTGGATTCTTTTGGTATCCTTTTTGTTCAATTCAATTCAACCTTTTTAGCGCTCCATGACGCTCCATGAAACTTATTGTGCCAGCAGGTCATGAGGTCTTGTTGAAACATGTTTGTCGCCTGAATTATCGCACTCGCCAGTGCAATGGCCGGAATCAGCTTCTTTTATATGGGTCCCACTATTACATTGAAACGAGATGAGAAGAGAGAAGTGTTATGAAAGGCTGGCAGCTCAATTCCACCACTTTGGAGGCTCTCATGCAACACGAAACTAGAAGAGTCCCAGCCCTTGCACCCAAACTGCTTGGGATTGCAAAGCGTCCGAGCTAGTTGAACAATTAAAAGTTTGAACTTAATCACCATCCCCGGACCAATCCAGACTGCGGAACCCTTCAGTTCTTCCAAGATGCCATAGAATTTGCTGCAGGAATAGCCCGCCAAATTCACCTGAGTGTCAGTTGACGGGCGCTAGGAAGAAACGGACTATGGATCCGAAAGCCTTTGGTAAAGCCCTTAGTGTGGCGTTGAGCCTGCTGGCACCATTTGATGACAATCCCGGGAAAATTAAGACCAACATATCCTCAACATGTTCCCGATGAACATGGCCATAGGGGGTTATTTTGCAGACTATGTGAATCATGTAAGATCATTGTTAATCATGCTAAATCATGTTGGATCATGCTGACAAAAAAAAAATCTTAGTGAAAGAATCAGCTTCTTTTATATGGTTCCCATTGGTTCCCATTATTACTATTAAATTCCCACTATTTCCAGTAGAATCATGGTGAAATCCCCCAATTTCCGACTGAAAGAGATCTCCCGAGGCACGAGGAGGTCGTTGTCACCACCCAACGGGGAGGGCGAGGTGCCTGGATCCAGGCGAAGATTCCTGTGCGCGGTCTGGGGATGGCTCCGGATCTGGGGGATGGGATTGAAACGGGTTCCAAATGGGATTGGAAAAGTGTAAAAACGTAGTCACCATGTTCTTTTTCAGAAAAACAAAAGGATTCAGAATGATTTTGAAATTGGATGAAATTGGATGACAAGTCCTAATCGTCCTATAGTCAACTACCCTGCAAAAGTATGAAAAAGTAATATGACCATCAATGCCAAGGGGATGAGATATGACTCGACTGATAACTTATCATTTGTAGCTGACCAGAGCGACAAAATATGGCCAACAGCTACTGAATGAAATTGGGCTGGAACGACAGTAGCACAGTGAGAGCTCTATTGGAAGAAACGTAGCACCACCATTGGTATCCATTGGTGGTTTCACATCAAGCTCGCAATTATCGGAGCGAAATGTGAACGTCTTTGCACGGTTTCAAGTGCAGAAGCATCAACTGACAGCTCAGTGCTGCAAAATCTGGCCAGCAATGGGTAGAGGAGCACAAGACACACCACCTGGCTGAGCATTCTTTGGCCTAAAAACAGCCAAAATGCCCAAGCCCCCAAGTCCCTGAGAACTAATGACATTATGCCCCGCCACAAATGACCCGCCCGACTCTACCAAGTCTCACTCCATCTTCGTGAATGCTGGAGCTGCCGTCTGCATCAATCTGAAAGTGTCCCTTCTTTGGAAGCAGCCGGCCAGCTAGATATAAGTCCTGGCCGCAAATGGCAGGGAAATATCGTCATGATTGTTGAATAATTGCAGCTGACTACGCCAAGTTGATGTGCTGGCTGGCCAGTGGCGCAGATTGGCACGGCTGCTCCTTGACGTCGACCACATCCTGTTGACAAAGTGTCAACAGCATTAAGATGTGAGAGGCGCTGCAATGCCCCAACTTTTACAAGTGATCGGTGTACGCCGTGCATCTGGATTGATTTACTGTATATCAAAGTGATCGGCCTCATCCTCATCATAGCTGGTAGTGCGACCATCCTCAGTTGCGCAATGACGACAACCTATTGGAAAATCATGGAAATCATCCGCATAATGGTGGGGATTCGCAGCTAATGGACTATGATCATGATCATCCCATAAGGGTTAGCAGTACCACCCGCGACCATCAGCCAATGCCAGGGTTTTTGAAACTGTTCATGTGGACAACCCCCCCAGTTACTGCACCAGCGCAGTAAGAAGCAGCTGAAAATTCACCGCGGCCCAGGCAGACTTCTGAGCAATGGCAGCACCTGCCACCTGGGGAAGCTGGAGATTTGGGTTGGCCCAGAAATGGACAAGCGTTTTAGTATGTTTTACTAGGGAACATTATGGGAAAGTAATGATAAACCACTGGAATCCCACAGGATGTACCATGGGTATCCAATGGTAATGGGACGTGACGTGGCCTTCAAGGCTTCGATCTCCTCCATCAATCCCTGCAAGGTCTCTTTGATCTCTTGGACATCGCTATGCAGCGTCGCCTCATGGTCGTTTTGCTGATGATTTTCCATCCAAAAAAATGACAAATATATGACATGTTGGGTCAAGTTGAAGGCTCTTGGCATTCCAAGTGGGTCACGATGGATCACGGTGGATCTGTGGTTTCAACAGGGTTTGAACATCTGACAGTCTGACAACTGACCCAGTCATCTGATGTTATCCGTGCCTTGGGCGTAGTAGTTGCTGCAGACAATCCCTTGATCTTGATGACGAAAGGATCAGCCTCTGACAGGGTGCTGTATTGCGGCTTCCTGCAAATATGGACTTTGATGGTTATATAATGATATATGATGTATGAGATATAATGTATAATTGTTTTCCATAAAATTGTCACGACTGGTGGTATCCAGTATTTTCAGACAGACCGACAGACCCGTAATAGTTTGATTGTTTTTAGTGCTGAAAGTTAAGTTACTATTGTGGCTAACTGGGTGTGCTTCCACAACTGTTCCACATTGTTCCACGTAGCAAATATTGGACGTATTTAGGTAGTAAGTGCTATCTCTCTGTCTCTGGTCCCACAAGGGTTCTGTGACTGAATCATGTTTGTGTTATAGCTACTGTACCAACTTGGGCGCTCAAAAATAGGATCTATTTTGAGTGGTTGACTGTTCAAAATAATCAGCATCTTCACAAATCTCCAGACATGTCAACCTACTCGTGGGTTGCTATAGATCTCAAATTGCCCCATTGTGTGCTCGTTGTGGTCGGTTTATGTTGTTCATGCCGCCATTTTTCATCAATATTTGATGGTTGTACACTGTTACCCTGGGGTAAACTAACATGAAACATAGTTTCCCGTTAAAGAAAAAAAACTCTAAAAGGTGGATTCCGCATATCTATACTCTCTGGGGCAAGTGCAAATTTTGGGGCTGATTAACACAGACCCTGCCAAATGAGGTTGGAAAACTACATTCCTCAAAATAGTACCGATTCTCAGAGTCAAACTGTTAGCTGGCAAAATCTCAATTAGTGCGGGTGAAATTCCGCTGAAAACCACTGAAAACCAGTCATAACTAGTAATACCTAGTAATAATCACTCTATTAACTACCATCTAAACTAATCGCTAGCATCAATGACTGCATTAATCACTATTATTAACTAATTAATCCCTCTTGATCACTCCTGTCTCAAACACCATATTCACAACCAATGGAAAATGTCTGGAAATTGTCATCCTTAGTTCGATGATTTTCCCAGCTATAAACCTCCGTGTAGTTCGGGTATGTTCATATGGTTTTCCCGAAAAAAAAAACCAAGGGTTTCCAGGTTTCCCATGGATTTCCCCATGGATTTCCCATATTTTTCCCTATATTTCCCCAGGATTTTCCTACGATTCTCCGGTCACCATCCCCGGCCATCTCCGCGGTCATGGCTGCTCCCCCGCTCCTTGGGTTTCGCCTCCTCGGAATGGGGCCGTGTGAAGGCCAGCTCCTCGGACGCCTGGGAAATTCGACTGGAAATGTCCACCAGGGGAAACTGATATATGATATTTATGATATATAATGTTTCTGAATACTGGGGAAATATTTTTAAAAAATACTGAACACCTGGAAATTATATTAAATCGTAAACAAATTAATATTGATAGGAATTATGATATTAGACATAAATTGGTAAAAATGACCAAACGAATCCACTTCAGACTTTCTGAAGCTGTTTGAACGCTGAAAATCTCTACCGCGCTGGATGCTGTGCCTTGGGATGCTCCGGCTTCGCATCCAGGGAAGGGAAGTTCATGGGCGCAAAGAGCGTTCCTTGGGAAATGGAAGGTGTGCGTCTGAGGAAGGAGAGGCTCGTTGTCATTGTTGCACTTCCACTTCTTAGACTCACAACCAATTAATCAGCATATATACATGGATCATTTGTCACAAACACACACACACACATACATGGAGAGAGAGAGAGAGAGAGTGAGGGTATAAATTTGACACACACACACGGTCCCCTATAGCCACTTTGCTGGCTGCTGCACAAAGTGTGGGCCAGTTGTGAAGTCGAAGCTGATATCCCCATGAACTGCACAGGGCCAATCTTTAGATTCCCAGAAAAAAACATCTTAGCCGCTTGACTGGTTGGTAATCATATTCCAATATTATCATATATTTTCCTAATCTCATATCTATTCATCATATGCGGATACGTAATGATACGGATATGCATGGCGCAAACATAAGCCGAATAAAGCTGCACCCAGCCAGTTGGTTGCCCTAGCATTGAGTGGCCAAGTCTCTTTCCTTCTGACTGGGCACCTGCCTCGGCACCTCAGGCCAAGTCATTATGAGGCATGACAGCCATAGATTCAGGTGATTTACCAACCCCACGCTTGAATATATTAGAATGATCTAGCATGAACCAGCATCTAGCATCTAACATGCAGAACACTATGTGAGATATGAGCGATTAGATCCTGGAAGGAAAATAACATGTGGAGATTCCACTTCAACAGCTGAGCCAAGTGCAGGATTCTCGTAGACTCGCCAGGTCGTGCCTCAATTGCAAATCATGGCTATATGATGTAGGCAGGCAATAGCTAAATAGTCCGCCTGGAATCAAGCCTTGCACCATCTTGCACCTCTTGAAGAACGAGCAAAACTGCAAAAAGGTGGAACTCGGCTACATTGCATCGCTATACATCTTTGGTCTCCAAGCGAAGCAACCTTGAAACACCTAGCTCAAACTCAAAGGTTATAGAAAAAAAGGCACACTATAATCTGCAATCTCTTCCCCCTAGTGCAGCCCATTCACCATTCCAGCTAGTGGAGACATTGCCAAGTGCTCGAGGTTCACTGTCAGGTCGCGCGCCGGTCTTCAGGAACTTGCCCAAGGCGTCCCCGAAGTCACAGTCGCTCAGGGGCAAATTCAACTTGGTTCCAAGGTCTGAGAGCTCGTCCCCAAACCTCAATGCACCGGTCCCAAAAAAACCCAAGGTATTTAGACAGGAAACAGCAGTAAACCTGGACTAGACAGAATATATGAGAATATCCCGCAATCTCATTCTTTCGATGCTTTTCGGATCTTTTGGAACGGTCCATTTGTGATCAATTTTATGTCCATTTCAATCTTCAATTCTGACTAAATGGGGTGTGCGTAGAATGATCCCCAAGTCACCATGGCTTTCGAGGTGTTTCAATATGTTTCAATCCTACTTCATGGTCAGAGTCATCCATGACATCCATGACATCCATGACATGACTTCGGAAAGCTGCTTCCCTGAGGAGGCAACACCAAGTAGTAGTACCCTCCACTGGGTTGTTGCTCCGCCAGAGTGACCTGGCGCAGCGCGGGGAATCCGCAACTGCTGCGGACCCCAGGGTGCAAGAATGGAGCCATGGAACTGATGGAAACTTGACATCAAATATCAACTCAACTTAAATCAAATATATACCACTCAAGTCTTAAGTATATATCATAATAATTTATAATACATATATATATATACTTAACTGAGTATATATAACTGACTAATGTGACTGAGCATTCTAGGGTTCTTTTTTGAAGGCATTCCGCTGAAAAGTTCTGACTCACCCAATCTGACCCATCAGCCCAGGCACAGCTACATATCTGGCGTTTTGCACTGCTGGGCCATAGAGTCCCGCTTTGTTACCTTGCAAAGTGGTGCCAGAGCGGGCACCAAAACAGGTGTCACGGGCCATGGACATCCATGGACATTGGTAAAGGTCTGCCTAGTTTGGCGGCGAAGTGGTCAGTGGTGAACTACTATGGACAGATGATGTAGTTACAGATCTTTTGGAGAAAGCTTCAGGTGATCTTCAAATCCGCATCTCTTTGCCTTCCACACGATGTTGAGGCTCAAAGCAGTCAAATACCGTTTTTCTTCACCCATACCCAATAGATCCCATGTTCGATATTTTTGGTCATTTATTAACCCCATCTTTTGGATGTTTCACTCCCCTTTGACATGGTTTATATGGTTTAATTTCATGATGTTTTCCTAAAATGTCGACATCCACGGAGCTGTTTCCACGTCCAAGGAGCTGTTCCAAATGCTCTTCACATCCCACGCGGGATCCGCCGGGTAGTTCTCTGGGAAGGTGAAGCCATGAGGAACGTCACCTCGAGGTGACGCAACCGGCCGGCTGTCGTGGCATAGTTTGGAGAATGAGAAGCACCAGTTTAATGTTTGAATATGTTGGACTTCCCAAATGAAACTCAACCTGGAAATGAAAGTTGTATGATGTTAGATGTCATATATGTACCGCATGGTGGACAGCACCATCTTATTTCGCAAGAACGAAGCTCTAGGGCAATGTCAATGGTTCAAAAAACAAGTTGGAGCTAAACAGTCCTTGCCTTTCTCTGTGCCGGCACAGCCCACCACCTCACAAATCATCATCGAAGCGTCGTCATCAGTTACTCAACCAGAAGGAAATGATAATTCAAAGATATTCAAAGGCTGTCAAGATTTCCTGCTGATGAAATGATGGTTGATGACATGTGTGTTTTTTCCATCCTGCCATGCGATCATATTAAATATCCGCCATCACTGCACTGGGCCCCCAAAATGACCAAGTTCAACACTAAACCAGGCAGTTCTCGGAGGTGTTCAATATCCGGGCAAAGGGAAGATGATGACTCAATCATGACTACTTGACTACTTGACTTCACAATCCTATCACGAAAATCACATGCAGTGCCCAAATGCGCCAACCCTTGGGGCCTTGGGAACGTTCATCAGTTCCTCTGCTGCTTTCCTTGCACGAACGTCGCGTATCGAACGTATCGAACGTCGACAGATTTCACGGATCCAATGGATCCAACACATATAGGCCGATGAAAAAACCCGCCAGGTGCGGCCGAGCATCTCCTGTTTCACCACCTCGTCCTTCAAAAGATCTTCGATGGATATCCCATCATCACTACCTGGGACCGGAGCCAAACCGGAGCCCTTGGGAGCCCTGAATTTTGGCACCCAATTTACCTCAGTTTTCATCAAAATATCATCAAAATATCATGAACATAAAACAGATTCAGGAGTCAAATTGCATGTGAAAGTATGTTCAATCATGTTCAATCTAATAAGCCTGCGATCATTGCTGAAGAATCTACGAGTATGGTATTGGTATTAGATATCATGACACATATAGACTGGTCAAATGACTCAAAGTCGACACTCATCATGGTGTGTCTCTGGGCCACTTGCGATATGCAAGGAAAAGCTCAACACCGTATATCCATCCCAGTCATCCCAGTCTATGGGGTCACCAAGTCGCTCATCTCAAACACATTTTAATGGCTTTGCCACAAGCTCCAGACATGCAATATCCACCATGTGAACAAGATATTACTAACATGCAACAGTGAATATCACATGGGTGTGCTTCCAGCGTTTAGCATCCTCCATGGGTCCGTGAAACCCGGGAAATAATCTTCACCGGGATTTCCTGACAATTCAACGACTATATATGACTATAATTCAAATCTATCCCTCTCAGTTTAATCATGTTTAATCCATTTTGATCCAACATTTCCATGTAGTGAAAAGTCATGAAAATTCAATTTTCAATCCAGGTGTTGCTCCATTAAACAACAATAAACAAGATCTTTTCAACACCCAGCTGGTCTTCCATGGTCTTCCCATCTTCCCCGTCTAACCGCCGCAGCACTGATCTCCCCCTGCTCCGACACCACCGCTGTGCGCCGCTCGGACCGCAGCAGGGATGCGGGCATCTCGGGCCCCTCGGACCTGGTTTACTGAAGGGATCTTAATGAGTTTTAAAGTGGAATTTGAATGAGCTTTAATGGTTTTAATGATGTTTAATGGGTTCTAATGGGTTTGAAACAAAGGTCAATTCAGTGGTTTTGATGGGCCTGAAAGATGGTGAATCCCGTGTTTTTGCTGGTTCTTAATCGTTGATCCAATGGTTTTTGCTGGTTTTTGAATGGTGAATCCAATGGTTCTTAGCAGTGGATGCAGTCCTTTTTGATCGTTTATGAGCTACATCTATAAGATGTTCGCATGGTTTACCCGATTAAAAAGTGTGGAAACGGGGTACCACTTTGCATACGAAAGTCGAATGTTGGTCCTGTTTAATTGCTCTATAATACCATCATATACCATCCATTTCGAAAATTAATTATTCCCCACCTGCCAGGTGAGGGTTCTTAGATTTTATCAGAGTTGTTCTCCTCCTTCCCCTCCTCCTCGGCCAGCTCGTCCTCCTCCTCCTCCTCCTCCGCCTCCTCCTCCAGTGTCTCCTCGACCATGTCTATCAACTTCCACCTCCACTTCCGCCTTGCCAACTCTTCGCCAAGCTCTTTGCCAACTTCCGAGCTCAGTGTGCACCGCTGGACCTCAACCTGGGACCTGCCCAGCTCAGTGTGCACCGCTGGACCTCAACCTGGGACCTTCCCAGCTCAGTGTGCACCGCTGGACCTCAACCTGGGACCTGCCCAGCTCAGTGTGCACCGCTGGACCTCAACGGCCAGATAGAATGCCAGAAGAGATGCCAGATAGAATGTCAGATAGAATGCCAGAAGATATGCCAGATAAAATGCCATGAGATATGCCAGATAGAGTGCCAGAAGATATGCCAGATAGAATGTTAGAAGATATGCCAGATAGAATGCCAGAAGGTATGCCAGATAGAATGCCAGATAAGATGTCAGATAGATTGCCAGAAGATATGCCAGATAAAGTGCCAGAATGTTTGCCAGATAGAATGCCAGAAGATTTGCCAGACAATATGCCAGAAGATATTCCAGATAATATGCCAGAAGATATGCCAGATAGAATGCCAGAAGATATGCCAGGTAGAATGCCAGAAGATATGCCAGATAGAATGCCAGAGATATGCCAGGTTGAATGCCAGAAGATGTCCAGAATAAAATATCGAACAAGAATTCAAGATGGATCTGGTCCAGATATATGCCAGAAAGATATTACCGATAAAATACCATAGATATGCCAGAAGAAATATCCAAAGATATGCCAGATAGAATGCCAGAAGATATGTCAATAAATGCCAGAAGATAATAAATGCCAAACGAATGCCAGATAAAATGTGTCGGAATATATGCCAGATAGAATGCACAGCAGATATGCCAGATAGAATGCCAGAAGAATGCCAGATAAAGATAAATGCCAGAAGATATGCCAGATAGAATGCCAGAAGATATGCCAGATAGAATGCCAGAAGGTATGCCAGATAGAATGCCAGATAAAATGTCAGATAGAAGGCCAGAAGATATGCCAGAAAAAGTGCCAGAATGTTTGCCAGATAGAATGCCAGAAGATTTGCCAGATAATATGCCAGAAGATATGCCAGAAGATATGCCAGATAGAATGCCAGAAGATATGCCAGAACATATGCCAGAAGATATGCCAGTTAGAGTCCAAATAGAATGCCAAATCGAATGCCAAAAGATATGTCAGATAGAATGCCAGAAGATTTGCCAGTAACAAAATGTAAAAATGTCATGGTGGGGATCACACGAAGTAAAGTAATTTTGGAATGTGTTGGAACCTGAAGTTTCCAGCAAAGACTGTGATTTGGTGTTTTCCATGTTAGTTTTCAGCGGTGTGATTGGACTTGTGGCTCATATCATCTCATATCCCTAGTAGCCAGTCCAAAAATGTAGCCAGAATCATTCATGTTGGGATTTAAATAGCAACCCAAATCAGGGCTTAGGTCAGCTGTTGTTGGGTCAAAATTTGCGAACATGATTCTAGATGATGTCGGATTGCTTTGGAGACTGTTTGCGCGTTTTGCGCGTCCTCAAGTCCTCTAACATTTTAAACAGCGAAACGAGGATAAAACAATGATAAAACATGAAAAATCCATGTGGAGATGGTTCAAATTGGTTCAAAACCTATTCATACTATATCAGCTATTTCACCTACCTGCAAAGCACCACTTCAGCCATAGCCATAGCCCGGTCATGGCCCGAATCGCCTGTCTGCTTTCTGCGCCCAACTGCTCTGCAACTCCTTTGGCGGATCACATCTTCTACGTCCATTAGTTTCATGGTGTTGCCTAGCTACAGAGTTGGTTTACAACATTCACTCTATATATATATATATTATGTCTATCATTTTCTATCCATAATAACACGGTATATTGTGTTTTACACATATATATATATAATATATGTATGTGTGTGTGCACAGTCTACATTACGATATATTCACGATAAAAATAGACGATGGTTCATGGATGTATTATCGTATGACTTGACCAACAAAATGATATCAAAGGCTCCAGTTGGATATTGCGCCCTTGGCGCGAAGAGAAATGATCGCGCTTCGATCAGGCGGTGCCGTAGCTTCAACATGGTTCAACATGTATATATCCATACTCGGAGTATAGCATGTACGTGATGAGGCATGATAAAGCCAAAATAGACCAGACCCCATGCATACACATTTTATAATTACACCAGTGTATTAATTATACCCATTAAGGTGTGTAAATACATTTATATATATAATACAGAACCCTCTTGGATCCAGCATGGAATCGAACCCCAAAGATCTGGCGCCATCCAAGGGTCTAGAAGCGACTCGGCAGCGCTACCTTTGGCCCTAGGCAAGGAAGCCGCCTGGCAACACGGCTGGTGAGATACTTTGGATAGTCACTTCTCTGAGGTATGGTCATGTTAGTCATGTTGATCGTTTTATGAATTTTATGGCATGGTCTCTTTACGGTCTTTTGATGTCTTTGGATGTCTTTGGAGCGTTTTGGTCACTCCCGGCACCTGCGCCCGCACATCTACAGCTCTTGCCGTGGCCAAAACCACCTCAGTAGTCATTCCAACTGGGTCCCTTCCAGCCGCGGCCTCCCGGCCTCCCTGTCCAGCAGCTTCGGCTCCAGGCAGAAACGATGCATATGAACATAGAGCCAAACCTCACCAAAAGATCGCCAACTGCCAAAGCTGCAAGAACTGCGACTGTCAACGAACAGTGTTGTTTGAAAAGAGGGGGGCTGCCTTGCGTACCTTGGAATCATTCCAACTTAGTCTCCGGCAACGTGGGATGAGCGTGGACGCCCTCTCCAAATGCATGACGTGGGTGGCACGGGCCACTGAGATCCAAAATGTTGCAGGTGCAGCAAGTCGATCCGAGTGACCAGCAAAGGCATGGTGGGGCAGTTCTGCTTTGTGTTGTGTGGGGTCTTTTAAATTTTGGGCTCAAGAGTTGACAGAAGGAACACGCGATAAACACATAAATAAAAATAAACAATAAATAAATAAAATACAATATAAGCAATATACATAACATTATATATATATACCTGGAGGTTCAAAATCCTGTTTTTTTTTTGAGCGTTTGTGTTTGCTCACTTTTTTGGTGCGTCGGGATCAAAATTGACCGATACGAGCGTTTTGGTGAAAATCTGTGCGTTTCCCGATCCCACATCCATCAAATCACCCCAACATAGCAATTATATGCAATTATATGATTGGTATGATTGGTATGATGCTTCAATTTATAAGTAGCGGTTAAGCAGATGCATCTTGCATGTTTTACAACGTACCGCATCAATCTTGGAGCTTTCACCCCATTTTTGCCCATAGACTAATAATATGTTAAAATCACAAACATACACTTTTTGGAATTTGAGTTCGTTTGGTGATTTTTGAGTCCGTTTGATGGATTTGTGAGTCCGTTTTGATCGAAAAACTGGGCGTGATTGTTTCATGGTTTTGATGCCTTGTGCACCAAAATCAACACTTGGGCGGCAACAACTCTCTAACTGTTCATTTTTGTTTGCATGGCTGAGATCAATTTTTTCATTACCCCAGGTTAATGATTCAGTCTTGAGGATCTTCTCGAGTAGTCAGCCGTATCTTTAATGATTACAATATATTACATTTTTTCTAACTAAACACTAATGAAAACATGACTAGTGACTAGTGGTCGCTTTGGGTCAAAGGTTATTTTTTATGAGCGACCCTATTGAAAACTAGGCAACAGCCTAAACAGACAATTTATTTTGAGCCTTTGAAGATCCAGGTATATATAACATACATAAATAAAGATCCGTTTGTGTACATACATTGGCCTGGAGAAGCGCCAAAGACGATTCAACCAGGTCAGAAAGCTGCTTTGGGCATCCCCACGCCACATGTGCCCAATCTGTCGGCCAATGCCCGCAAACCACGGGTTCCAGCCGCAGATTGAATGGACCTTAGGCCGTGACCGAAGGAATCCGAAGGAGACAAAAGGCCCGGAAGGCCCGAAGGCCCGAAGGCTTGCGACTTTGCCCAAGGACTGAAAGAGATTGTGGGGGATTTGCATTATTTCGCTGCGATACCATCTTGATCATCTTGTACCCTTCAAAAAGGACCAAGAGAAACACATGTTGTTTCATCTTGTTGTTTCTTCAGTTGGTAATTTCGCAAAAAAATATATATCCATATATCCTGCAGGCAGGTGTCAAGAAGTTTTGCCCCCATGCACATCCAATCTCCCCGGGACATTTCTTGCCCCTACGGAGTCACTGCCCAGCAGCAATGGGACGTCCACTGCTATTCAACGCCTCTGCCATCCGACCTTGATGGGAAGCTGGTACACCATTGGGGTTGAAATCTCCATTACCAAAAAAGGCGCTGGCTCATGGCTTTGGCTTTGCCACACTGCCACACTCTCCATCTCTCTCTGTATGTATATATTTATATTCATCTATTTTTATTGATCTATATATTACATGTATATAATTATATATATATACACATGATCACATATGTATAAAAGGTCCTCAGAATCCTGGAAGTTTCCACCGTCAGAAACCGCCCATGTTTGGAGCGAGGCACGGTATTTCTCCACCGTCTTCTTCTTCCCCTCGTCGTCGCATTTTCCCGACTCAGGGTAGCCGACCTTGCTGTGGAAAATTGATGGATTTCCCCAGGAAAATGATCTGGAAATGGTTGATTTTCCACATCCTTGTTAGTTTACCCTAGGGTAATAATTAAAAATGTGCTTCAAAATGGATCGAAATGGTCTCAAAATTGAATATGTGTGTATGTATATATATATTAAATACCCTGCCATGAAATTGGTGGTCTGGGCTCTTGAGCTTCCCATCTCGCCCAATTCAGAACATACTTCATGTATTTGTCACTCTGTGGTGTACTATATTGATACTCCCTCTCTCTCTCTATTTTATACACACAATAAGATACATGATATGTATATATATATATATATTACATACTAGCATAAGTTAATATAACACAGTAACATACAGTAACAATTTACCAGCTACGGTGAGGCTCTCGGCCGGTCCCTCTACCGCATCAGCATTGCTTCGCCACGGGGCCATGATGTCACCACCTGAATGGCTCAAAGTTGTCTGAAACGACTAGGGGTTCTGACGAAAATCCCCAATTTAAAACATAGAATATAGAAGTTGGTAAAATCATCTAAAATCCAATCCTAAACCAGTGACAAATCACATTTAATATAATATATATATATATACATATATAATATTATATTATATATATATATTATTATATATTATATTATATATATTATATTATATATATATATACAAATATTGTTCTATCTTTTTGGTGATCCATATGTGATGTATGACATTGTATGACTTTCCCCACAAGCGTCATCTTCCTGGGCCAGTAAACATCAGCCATAGTAGGTATAGAATTTCTGCCAAATTACACCAGGACTAGTATTGAAACATATTGAAACCCATGGTTTTGGGGATCCCCCCATTTTTCATGAACCCCCATATACAAAAGGGCTTAAAGTCCAAGCATCAATCTGGATCAACACAGCCATCGTTCTTCACGAAATCCACATCCCAGGAGGCAAACAGCCTTGCCAGGCAGATACATCAGGCAATGATCTTTCCATAAGGTTAAGAATCCCACCCCTTTGTGGAATCTTATGAATCCTCACTAAAATCATCAAACCCTTCATATAAGATTAAGACTTTCCATTTGTGGCAAAGACTGGAACACCCTTGATTTATTTTTAAACTCTTGTCTAGTTGTTTTGCTAGTGATTTCAAACAGCTGTTTTTTTAGTGGTTCGGTCACCAATTTGAATGGGGTTGGTGCTCACCTGCTAAAAAATAAATTTGATCCTCTCTCAGAGTTTCCCACGTTTCCAAGTCTTAAATAGAAGAAAACCTTCAAACATCCTTAATAATCTTAATAAATCCATCAAACATATTCACACATCATCAACACAAAGAAAATTATGTGAATCCCTCAAAAATCCTGAATCCCCTCCATAAATCCACAATAAATCTCCTTGCAACACAGTCAACACAGTGATTCGCCTTCCATCTTGAGCTTCAAAACCCAAGGAGGCTGGGCGGCTGGCGCAAGTCTTGAGGCCTGGCGGAGTCATTTTCAGCAGTGGATTTTACCCATGGGTAAACAGTATAACTGGTGATTGTCCCATGAGTATAACATAATATAACTGTGGCTAGTACCATCATACAGTATAACTGTGTATCTATAACTAGTGATTTTCCACTGGTTAGATTATCAGAGGGACGGTTCCTCCAAACGCTACCCTGGTTTCTTTGGGGCCAAATTGATGTTTTCGGTTTAACCCAAAGTGGCCGCAGGACTTGGATTCGGCTCCCAGTTTGGCTTGGACAAAGCCATGTCAATCTGCTGCCTCTGTCGGTGTAAATGCCATACTTGAAGCCCAATTTGTGCAGGTAATCGCCCAGGGATTTCATTCCTGCGTCCAAGGGACCAAGGGATGCGTTTCATGTGTGAGGCAGCTGGCTTTGAGCATACCCAATCTGAGATACCTGGTTTATTTAGTTGATTTATTTACATTTATTTATTTATTTATCATATACTTATATACTTTATATTCCTGCAATAAAGGTTGACTGGGCAACCCCTATAGCCAAAACCTCCCCGTTCCATGCCCGGTGAAGGCCTGAAGGAAAGGCTCTTTCATCCTCTTCCAGCTGGCCAGAATCCTCAGCATGGCCCCTGGTAGTGCAACAGCGGCTTTCTTGTTGGTGGTTGACCCTCCCCTCTGAAAAATATGAAAGTCAGTTGGGATTTTTATCCCCAACATATGGAAAAATAAAGAAAATGTTCCAAACCACCAACCAGATGTCTTATTTTTGAATGGATTAATGATTAAGAGGTTCAAATAAGTTCAAATAGCTTGCCTAAAATATCCTAAAATCCAAGTCATCCCTGGCCCCGGATTGGTCTGAATACACCCCAAAATCGGATACTTGATCATCATGTTCACATAAAAACTGTCCAAGACAAGACTGTCGAATTAAGAGTACCTTTTTCGGGGGGAGGGTAAAGAACAAATCCATATTGATAACCAGACTTTAAGAATCTACCTCCAAGGAATGATCAACTCAGCCACTCGCAGGCTCAATTTTAACGGGCATGATGACATGGTAGCAGCGCCCAGTTCACCCAACCTGTGATCCTCAAACCCACTGCTCAGGTGATATGATGAATTCTAGTGTGAATATTCTGCCTTGGTGACTCCTGCCTGGGTTTGCTTTACGGAGAGGAATTGCCCTTTTCACGCATAAACCCACTATATCCCCCTAAAATCCCCTAAATCTCATGGTATCTCACCTCCAAGCTGCAAATCTTCAGTTCCACCCCCGGCATTTTTTTCAGCTTTGGGCGTCTCAACAGGAGGTCAGGATTTCAGCCCCGTGCTCGGTGACCAGCACCGTGTGTTCCCACTGGGCGCTCCAATCTCCGTTCTTCGAAAGGATCGTCCAGCCATCTTCCAAGGCATCAGTGATCTCAGCACTACCCTCCTCAGAAGCGATGTCCAAAAAAGCCCAGAGAATATGGTCGTCAAATGTCATCAACTGTTTCGACATGTTTGAAATGAGGCCACGTTTTAGAGGGAACTCGGAAACAAGATGAAGGGACAAATCAGGGGCCAAAGATGGGGCCTCATTTTTTGGAGTGTATGAATGGAACCGCTTCGCTGCAACAAAACCAGCAGGTCGGGGAGATTGGTAAAGGTGGCTAGCCGGGAAATCCCTAAACTAAATGGGACAATCAATATAAGGCATTTTCCAGCAAGCCGCATGTTTGCTGAAGGGTAACCGGTAACATCCGGTAACCAATCAAAAAATCCAAAGAACGTGATGATTTCTTCCACCGAAGCTTCGACAAAGATTGGTTCAATAGTAAAAGTCATCCCCGGAAGGAGTTCGAGCGCAAGACTGTTGGGCACATGGCTGACATTCGGAAGCATGTGGAGCTCACTTCCGATGAAATGGCCACAAAACTGACTCACAACCTGAGGACCGCAGGATGTCGCAGGGGAGTTGAACATCTCAACCACCCCTGAGATTAACACCTATTAAAAACAGATCAGCAATATATGTACAGTAGTATGATTAATGTAAATTGGCCCGATCCAATACAAAACCAAGGTTTCTCTAGGCGTCTCGGAATGGATTTAGACCATAAGAAAAGAACGAAAGTGGTGCCAACGGCTCAGAACCCGGCCATCTCCCACACCCATCACCATTATAAGAGTAACGTGCAAGCCCCTCTTCCGCGCAAAGTCATGGCAAAAATGGCCAATCTGATTCAACTTCAGTCCTTCCAGCCCAATTGATTGTGAATGAAAATGCATGTAGCCATTGTGGAAAATTATACATGGAAAGAATCCGAATCATGAATCAAAATGGACTCGTGGACCATGCCATGCCATGTGGACATGTTCATCTATCCCTGACCGGAAATCCTCCCGGTGCAACGGCTCCTGGTCCCACCAATTCCACAGCTTCGTCCAAGCACTGCTTGGTGGCATCCACCAAGAAGCGCGCGGCTGGGTCGACGTCCCCAACGCAAACCATGGCCGAACAGTCGCCAAAGGCACCGTTCAAATAGACGGTGACGTCTAAGTTGATGATGTCTCCTCCATGGATATCCGATGATACCCGATGAATCCCGATGATGTCTAATGAGCCGTTGTCAAGATTTACTGTTTTCGCTAAGCTACCAAAAAATGGTATCGCTTTTATGGGGGGATCATCACTACACATGGTTTTGTACGTACTTCTGGAGATAGAGGAACAATCTGTGTAAAGAGAAGATATGAAAAGAAGAACAGAAAAGGAAAGGAAGAGAGGAAGAAAGAGAGGAAAGGAGGAGATAGGAGGAGAGGAAAGGAAGAGAGGAAAGAAAGAGAGGAAAGGAGGAGAGGAAAGGAAGAGAGGAAAGAGAAAAGAGGAACGCACCTTTCTATAAAACAGCTTCAGGTTTGGACATTGTGCACACTTATATAGCAAGGTGTGAGCCAAGTGAGCCATGATTTTAAGGGCGAAACCACCCTGAGACCCTGAGTGAGTGGATAACTGAATGTATGGCCCAAATGTGAAACGACTGCAACTTTTCTAGATTCTAGATCTTCATGTTTTTTTTACTGTCCTGAAGGCACGAAACTGGCCAATCGCACATTAGGTAGCTGGAAGGATACCAAAAAAACACAGCAGGAACATTGAAATTCTATACAATAGCATGACTGTTCAATCCAACACATTTCCACCAATCTCATCCTCCGGATCTCCTTCTTCCAAAGGCCGAGTATTGGGCACCCCATGCAACGCCACCTCATTTGGTGAGGCGCAAAGGCCACGTGGGAAGCCATAATAATTGATGCCTACCGGATAGGCCCCACGGGAAATCACGAACTCGCTGGTGCGACGGTCCACCTGTGGTCACGCGCAAAGGCCATGGTTACTTGGCTGGCACAGCCAGGAGTGGGGCTATAAGACGGTTTTTGTAGTGGAACCTCATGGAAAATCTTTTTTTCCTCATCGATAAGTAATCCACATATAAAACGAGCGATGGGGAGATGTTGATTACAACATATTACAACTTAAAAGTAGTGGGAAGTTACAAACGCTGCAGTGACTTCAGAAGGATCACATGGCACTGAAATGATGATCATGTCTGACACTTGTTCAATAGTCTAGGAGTCGAACATTCCAGCTTCACCAACTGGGAATTACGGAGAGTTCCCAGTTAAGCATCATCCAAACTCATTGTCAACAAAAAGTCAGTAACATCAAACATCATCATGAAATCTCTAAAGTAAAGACATCATTCAATATCTCTAGATTCTAGATTTTAATTGTTTCATCACCTGGACCCGCTGCAGCCTCGTCGGTGGTCACCCCCACCTTGGCCACTTCGCAGGCCAAGGCCAGTGCTTCAGCTGCTAGGCCGCAGGCGGAACGCATTTTCCCAATCATTTCCTGGAGGATGTTTTGGGCAAAAGGATGCAAAAGGGAAAATGATGGGAAAATGATGGGAAAATCCCATGTTCTATTCTAGATTTCTTAGAGATAGTGATTTTTCATGGAAGTTCCTATCAAATTTCAAAACCAACATGCTATCATCATGCTATCATCATGCTATCAACATGCTATCAACATGCTATCAACCTGCTATCAATTTGCTATCAATTTGCTATCAATATACTATCAATATGCTATCAATTTGCTATCAATATGCTATCAATATGCTATCAATTTGCTATCAATATGCTATCAATATGCTATCAATTTGCTATCAATATGCTATCAATATGCTATCAATATGCTATCATCATCGTCATCGTCATCGTCATCGTCATCATCATCATCATCATCCTCATCCGAGTTTCTGGTGACTTCTGTTCTGCAAATTCTTCCGGAAGTAACTCTCTCGGCCTTCCCTGTGGGTCGTCCGCATAGGACGGCCGCGGAATGTGCTGCGGCACCGCCACCGCGGGCGGCACCGTCCAGTTGCTCAGCGGCACCGCCGGCGTGTTGCGCCGCGCCGGCACCGTGGAGGCCACAGCACGGCGCGCCAGGAGGCGCCAAGGGATGGCCATGGCAGGGTATGCCGATGGTGAAATGATGTGTGGATCTATGGATATCTATGGATCTATGATGGGAAACTGAAACAAATTGGTTGGAGCTACCAGGAAATGTGGGTACTGGATGGTACTGGGATAAAAGTGATGTTACATTGATATCATGTGAAACTAGTTGCTTGTTGATTCCTGGGATCAAATGGGCACCCGCCCCGCTGAGTATCCATGATCATCCTCATATACAGCTCATGCGACGAAGCGTTCTATGTTATGTCTGGGCCCAAATACTAATGCTACTAATGCGTCAATCCCAACTCATCACAGTGGTGTTTTGGACCATTGTATGTACTTATTATATGCTTCATCTTTAGGATGATTTAGGTCACATGTTTGCAACTGCGGTATTGTGGTATTGTTTGTGCACTTAAGAGTGCATCATGTGAAAAGTTTGTGCACATCCACATGCATCTCTTAATCCCCCGTTGGAATGACTGCACTGGCATATATGTTTTTTTTTCGTTAAATGTATGTATAGTGCAGATGCATGCATATATACATATATCATATATCATATGAAATTTATATTCACATCATATACTATGCGGTACCACGGTAGCATATGTGTGGTTGTAAACCCCAAGTCGAGGCGCAGATCTGCTGATCATCCAACCTCAGGAGATCCGGGGATCCAGATAAACCCGGCTGTTGGGGGGCGGTACCATTGAAGTATCAGATGAAATGACTATTGGGGAAGTACCCCCCATAATTAATAAACTATAGTAACTATTAATCCGGGGTTGACATTATAGATCATTATAGAAAGATGATGGGTTATGTTGGATTGTCAAGATGTATCAAGTCATTGTTGATGTGACTTCATGATATATGTCGGACTAGATCAATTGGAGTTGCTAGTGCCCAATCACTAGGATGAATCTGCATCTTACTGGCAGGGGCACATCGTTGTGGGGAGCCATCGGCCAACGGTCTGATCTGATTGAGCTTCACGATGCAGAAACGATGAGAGCTGTATCTGTGAGAAGTGAAATTTGGATACTTCTACCTCTCTCTCTCTCTCTCTCTCTCTCTCTCCATCGCCATCCCAAAGGTTCAGCTAAGGCTGAAATTTGGATATGTTCACACCGAAAAGTACAAGTTTACCCGGATAATTACTCTTTTACAATGACAATAAAAAAAAGATCTAGAGATAGAGAGGTATCTTCATCAGACTGCCATAGACTGCCACCTTCCTGCAAGGGGCCTTCGAACCATTCTGACCTTCCTCCGCGCAGCCAGGTGGCAATCATCGACCACCACGTATTCATAGCCAAGCTCGAGGAAACCCAAATTCTTCAGTTTTTCCTTGGGATTGCAGATGCAATGGTCATAAAATGTCATAAAACAGCCCAAGAGCTGGGATTTTTTTAGCCAGCCAAAAGGGTGGAGGCTCCATGGCTCCATGCATTCCAAGCGTCTGCGATGGCCTCAGTATGGCAGATTTGGGAATGCGAAATGTTGCTTATGGGAATGGTATGAGATTAATTCGAAACAGGGGACTGAAAATACTCTGTGCACATGCGTGCCTGCAAATAAATAGGTACAACAATTGAAAAACACTGCATAATAAAGCATAATGTAAAGCATACACATAGCTATGTACATTGTACATCTATGTACATGGATATAGTTTATAGAAACACATACAGTATCACACATAAGCAATCTACACACAGAGCATGGCTGAATTCAGGCGACTTCCGGCAAGGGACCGTCAACTTCTCTTCGGATGGTCTACACTCCAAGTCATTCCAGGAATTGTAACCCATAGGCGGTTTCTGCGCCAAGCCATCCTTGGTCCCGACATATCCCAACGGTCAGATGAATCACGAAACAGAGCACGATTCAACAACCCAAAATAAATAGGAGGTGGTGGTATATACACAACTGGAAATATCTGGAAATTATGAAATGACGTAATCTACAACACGCTGGAACAAAGCAATCGCCCCGGCTTGACCCCCCCGAGAGGCCAGGGATATCAGCGAAGGTGGTTCACCCACATGGCGGTATGGAGCAATGCGCGAAACTGTGCTGAATTTCCTTGGCCACTATTAGATCTATTAGTCCAGACCCGGGAACTTTGCAGAAGTCAGTAGGTCCGGTATGATTGAAAAAACTGAAGATGCCCCAAACCACATTGGTTGCTCCTGCTGAAATTCATCAAAGTAGATCTCTCGAAAGGATTTCGGTGGATTTCGGCCCCCGATTTCAGAGCAAGGAAATTCACCATATTCAGCATTATTCTGCGTGCCGTTTTCATCTGTATTCTGTATTTGCGACATATTCCTATCCCATTCTTTCATATGATTCCTCCGCTTCTGTTTATGCCGCCAATATTTCCCGTGTTTCATACCAGTTTCCAATTTTACTGCATGTACCCGAAAGGGTAATTAAACAATTATTAGACATGGCTGGAGAACTCAGCATTTAGTTCCATGATGTTCATTGATTTTCCCATTCAAATGCCTATTGATATGGGATTTCGCCAAGGGTCACCCGGCAGGGCGAAAGCCTGCGAAGCCTGCGAAGCCAGGACCTGAGGCGAATCGAAAATCAACCAATCGCAACTTCATAACCACCATTAAAAAAGAACCAGAGCTTATGAGAGAAGCATCATCTAATCTAATCATAATCCTGGAAGACTTTTCTGGATCTTTGTGGAACTTGCTATATATGAAACCATTGGTTTTCATATCAAAAGTTACGGGAAACTGGGGGGTTTGACATGTGTTTGCCATCAATAAAGGGACACTTCCATGACCTTCAATCCATTTCAATCCCCATGTCGCCATCAATGTCAAAGAGCCAATCCCATACTGCCAAAATGAGGTTGCCTAAGTCACTTCACGTTTTCGCCAAATTTCCTACAGTCCTACTCCCCTGTTGTGAAATCCCCTCAAAGCTTTGTCAAACATTCCAAGAACCTGGTACCTGGTAAATGTCCAGTGCGGAGACTTTGAGCATCACCCGTGGTTGTTGGTAATGCTTCCCCTTAAATTGGCAAGGGCGATGGTCAAGTGGCCATCCGCCTGGATTCTTCAAGTTACAACCTGGAACTGGAGCAAAGGAAAATTTGCAGGAACTGCCTGAACCCCCCATAGCTCATGGATGTTCATGGCAAACGAGAACTAAAAATCATGCTTAAATGAACTATTTTCTAAGAACCCCCATAGTCAAATTATTCCATAGTGGGCAGTGGTAACCAGGGAAAGACACGTTGCCGGCAGCCTTCAAGGCTTGGATGATCTCCTTGTTTTTGGGCTGTCCTGCCATTCTCAAGCTGGCGTGCTCTTGACGCCGGGATAGGCCTTGCCGGGCCCTGCATCCGTCGTATTGGGAGAAGAGTGGAGCAGAAAATAGATGCTGCCACTCATAGGCATTTCGCTTTGCTACAGCCGAACTGCTGTAAATTGGTAAATTGATGTAAATTGTCATTAAAATGTGTGCAAATCGATGTCTATATCTGAGCCTATCTGACCATGCCAGTTTCGCCAGGACGGGCTACTCCAAATTCCCTTTGCAGTTTTGTCTTACTTCGTCATCTCCACATTCAGCACCGTGGAATTCTGCAGCCCAGCCTCTGCCAAAGTGAGCTCTTTGTCTTGAAACGCCTGCTTTGGGTGAATCGTCACCAGGCAGTAGGGGCTTCCATTGCGGATCTCCGGCTCTGTAGCGCTTTCCGCCTCCACAACGTCATAAACCTTGGCGATGGGATCCGAAGACAGGAAGTGGCAGTGCACCCGCCGGCCGCTCGGCAAGCGAAGCAGCAGCTCCACAGCTTCGGGCTGGGAGACCTGGGCCTCGCTGGGGTGCACCTGGGAGACTTGGGAGATGGGCTCTTCATGCTCTTCTGCTTCAGGATGCTCTGGACGGTCAGGAAGTGGATGGCCTGGTCGATCATAATGCAAGGCCTCCATTTCCACCTTCACAGTTGGCACGGTAGCTGCTGGAGGTTTGTCCTCTGGGTCTGGGTGTTCAACCTCCATGGCGGCTTCATAGAGATCGGAATAGGCCACACTGCCATGAGGTCGCCAAATGAGGCTTCGGCAGTGCCAGCAACACGCGAAAATGCTGGCATGAAGGCAGCCGCACATCAGCACCACCAGCGGGCGGATGGTACCACCCAAGCCAGTGGAGTGGGACGGGATGGCAAAAAAGAGTTCCAAACACGCTGAAAAAGCGCCAAGGCAACAACAAACCGTCAGAGGGGTCAAGTACAGCAAGCCATCCTTCACTGGATACCTGACCCATTCAGGTAGTGTGAGCACCCATTCTCCCAGCTGTAGCACCACGGGCCCCATGAACCGCTCCAGCCATGGGTCGGACTGCAACAGCAGCGATCCGCAGAAGGCGGTGGCGCCAGTGACCAAACACAACCAGGGCAGCCACAGCAGCAAGGCCAGCAGGGTCAGGCCGTAGAACCCCAGGACACCCAAGCGGATGCGACCCAGGTAGATCTTGGCCTCCGACACATGAGGCCCGCGCACCCGTGGTGCCAATGGAAAGGTCGGAGCTACGGGGCCGCCACTTAGGAGGCCGCCTGGGGCCGGTGGATCCAGTCCCAACATTGCAACCGCTGGAGCCAAGCGAGCCATGATTGGGCATGCTATGGCGGAAGCATTGGAAAACATATTGGGGGTTCTTAAAAGGGGGGAATATGGGGGGATCCCCAAAACCCATCAAAACAACAGGTGTCATAAAAGGATCTAGATTCGCTGATTTGGGGGTACCTCCATGACTCAGGAAATCTTCATGTTGGAACATCATGAAATGTTGGATCTGCAAGATGCCAACCAACCGTGGCAGGTTATCAAGGGCGATGCCATCACCAGCCATCTTGGAGTTACGAGTAGTTGTGCAAGGGGGGTACCCCCAAGAGACACCGATTGGATCGGCTGATTGGTTCGGCTGATTGGCGGATACCTGTGCACAATCATCCAATGGCTTTCATTTGTCTGGAGGGTGACTTCCAGCCCTTCAAATGAAGCAGGTCTCATCCAATGGCTGGTTGCGTCCCCATGGTTTCCTTTTCTGTTCAAAGTAAAGCCCATGAATGGCTGCTGACATCATACTCGTAATTGTATATAGCAACCCCCAAACATCAAGACAGGTACTGTGACTTTAATGGTCGCAAATGACTTGTATCTTTCTTTGGGGGGTTGTCTACCCTTCCTTTTGGGTGCTATAAGTAAATCACACTTAGATGATCTAAAGTCAACCAGTTGCTCGGTAATTATCACTTCGTCCTGCTTCTGAATCCTCCCCCTATCGATGATCAAGTGACCACCCACCAGTGCCGCATGGCGCGCGCATCTTCGCCCGGCGGTGCGGCCAACAGGGACGGATGGCAAGCTCTTCAGAGCACAGCTGGGGGCAGAGTCACATGGGTTTCTACGGACATGTGGATTTGTGGCCATTTGTGGCCATTTGTGGCCATTTGTGGCCATTTGTGGCCATTGATTCATGGGGCATGCGGAATTTCATGATGATCAAGTGCTGGATCTTTTTGGGGGCAGCAGCAGTCTGGAAAAGACGACCTATGGATTGAAAGTCATGGAGATGTTTGGTGGTTTTCACCATGACCTTGGATGGCAAGAATATGGGTCACCTGCTCTTGAAACAAACAGCAATAGTTGTTTGTTGGGGCCCGTCTGCATTTTGTTTCAAACAACACTTTTCTGAGACAGCACACATAATCAATAAACAGTAGCAAATCTAGAGCGATGAGTGACGCTTGCTGTTTTTGTATTCTCAGAATATATGCCTCATCATACTTCATCCATTTGCAGGCAGAAACTTTCCTTAAAACATGGCTTGAGCAGGCTAGCTTGTGGAATTGGTTTCCTCCTGTTTGACTCATGCTCCAGCACTGCTTTGGTGATGAATTATCGTTTGCATCTCTGCATCATTGTCAGGAGCTTCAAGATTCGGTGATATTCTATGAGTCATTCTAGGGTGAGTACATCTACCACATCACAACAATCCTGGATGTTGCAAACAACATGACAACATATGACAACATGACAACCATAGAACCCCAGCTGCACTGCACAGTGCTTCCTAGAGCCCTGTGCAGCCGCCTCCACCCCCGCATGGAAAATACCTCCGAACCTGGGACGAGGATTTTCCCTATGGGGGACCCGGGATAAGCACCATTCTTCAAGACAGCGCTTTACATGTTAATCGTAACAAGCACAGTCACAATGAACAAGAATAGCATAATAGCTAATATATGCACGCACCTATACTCATAAATAAATAAATACCAGCAGATTAGATTCTAATATATATTTATATATGTTGTTTTATGCGTGTGTGTTATTAAATAATATGCCGCAACAATGTCACAACATGTCACAACATGTCACATCTAGAGTCGGACCAAGAAATTTCCCCATCAGCGGCGCACTTCAGTGGCATGCGCTTGTGCGCCAGCACCTTGTTCAGTCGTTGGATGGCCGGTTCCTGGGTGACCTCAGGGAATTCACCATGGAGTTCTCACCATGGAATCCATGGAACCTTGGGAAGTGGTTACCATTGGGTTCCGTGTGGTTTCATATAGTTCCATGTTGCAGGGAAGTACCAGTGAGGTGGTTTCAGCATGGGTTGATGCATGACAAGGTTTCGCGGGAAACCATACATGTTTTCCCGCCAGTATAGCTACAACATGCTACAACACGGAAAGGGGCTCCTGTGACTCCTGTGCCAATCTTTCCCTCTTATCAATCCATTTCTGGAATGGTTTACAGTTTCAAGCAGTCCCAAAAATCGACACTAGTTACACAATACCAAAGCCACCCCAGTTATGCAATTTGAGTTTTAAGTTGTCACAGCACGCACGGTCTTGCCACCTCTGTTTTTCTCCATCCCGGGAGGAACAACTGACATTGGAATCCATGTGAGATCGCTTTGGATGCTACATTTCAACTCAGCAAGTGATCTCGAGCTTGTCATTCTTTGCAGTCAGTTTTTTGCCTTCAAATGCCTTCACGGCTGCATTGGGGACCGCAGGCACGTTGTTCAACTTGGATTCCTTAAACTCTTCTGGAGGCGCCACAGAAGCAGGCGAGACACAGGACTCTGGAAGCCAAATGTCATTGTCCAGGACGCCCATGACTTTTGCGTTGCACTTCTCTGTGCATGTTGCGGTAGCCTTGCCCTGTTTGCATGTTTTGGCAGCTGCGCAGCATGGGTGTTCCTGGTCTGCCAGCTGATCATAGTTCGGAAACTCAAATTTGAATCCCAGACTGCAAATCAAAGCAGCCGATTCTTCAACAACGCCGGCTGAATGATGCATGGCCCCTGCATGTAGATCATCTTCTGAACGGATTGCCTCACTGAGCACAAGAAGGGAAGCCACTAAAGAAAAGGTGGGAGCCATTGCACTAAAGCAAACTCCTACGAGTTTGGCAAACGCGAAATCTAGATGCACGATGCAATGTAACAGGCTTTGAACCCACAGGGCCACAGTATGCCACACTCGTCCTTGCCCTGTGATATTTTCGTGCCAACTCACCCAAACAAATCCACCAAATGCATCGCACAACACCTGAGTCATACCTGAATCTGCATGACAGCGACTGTGCAAGAATCTGCAAAATTCAAAACTTGAATGTGTTTGTTTGAAGAGCAGTGGCGTCAGCCCATCCTCACTCTGATAATCATCTGATATGTGAAATTAAGAGCATTGGGCAGTGGTTTGCCAAATATCTGCATATATCTATATATATCTGCATATCAAAGCTACCCTAGTTACACAATTTGAAGTGAGCTTTAAGTCTTGAGTTTGTCACAGCACGCACGGTCTTGCCACCTCTGTTTTTCTCCATCCCGGGAGGAACAACTGACATTGGAATCCATGTGAGATCGCTTTGGATGCTACATTTCAACTCAGCAAGTGATCTCGAGCTTATCATTCTTTGCAGTCAGTTTTTTGCCTTCAAATGCCTTCACGGCTGCATTGGGGACCGCAGGCACGTTGTTCAACTTGGATTCCTTAAACTCTTCTGGAGGCGCCACAGAAGCAGGCGAGACACAGGACTCTGGAAGCCAAATGTCATTGTCCAGGACGCCCATGACTTTTGCGTTGCACTTCTCTGTGCATGTTGCGGTAGCCTTGCCCTGTTTGCATGTTTTGGCAGCTGCGCAGCATGGGTGTTCCTGGTCTGCCAGCTGATCATAGTTCGGAAACTCAAATTTGAATCCCAGACTGCAAATCAAAGCAGCCGATTCTTCAACAACGCCGGCTGAATGATGCATGGCCCCTGCATGTAGATCATCTTCTGAACGGATTGCCTCACTGAGCACAAGAAGGGAAGCCACTAAAGAAAAGGTGGGAGCCATTGCACTTAAAGCAAACTCCTACGAGTTTTGGCAAACGCGAAATCTGGATGCACGATGCAATGTAACAGGCTTTGAACCCACAGGGCCACAGTATGCCACACTCGTCCTTGCCCTGTGATATTTTCTTGCCAACTCACCCAAACAAATCCACCAAATGCATCGCACAACACCTGAGTCATACCTGAATCTGCATGACAGCGACTGTGCAAGAATCTTCAAAATTCAAAACTTGAATGTGTTTGATTGAAGAGCAGTGGCGTCAGCCCATCCTCACTCTGATAATCATCTGATATGTGAAATTAAGAGCATTGGGCAGTGGTTTGCCAAATATCTGCATATGTCTATATATATCTGCATATCAAAGCTACCCTAGTTACACAAATTGAAGTGAGCTTTAAGTCTTGAGTTTGTCACAGCACGCACGGTCTTGCCACCTCTGTTTTTCTCCATCCCGGGAGGAACAACTGACATTGGAATCCATGTGAGATCGCTTTGGATGCTACATTTCAACTCAGCAAGTGATCTCGAGCTTGTCATTCTTTGCAGTCAGTTTTTTGCCTTCAAATGCCTTCACGGCTGCATTGGGGACCGCAGGCACGTTGTTCAACTTGGATTCCTTAAACTCTTCTGGAGGCGCCACAGAAGCAGGCGAGACACAGGACTCTGGAAGCCAAATGTCATTGTCCAGGACGCCCATGACTTTTGCGTTGCACTTCTCGGTGCATGTTGCGGTAGCCTTGCCCTGTTTGCATGTTTTGGCAGCTGCGCAGCATGGGTGTTCCTGGTCTGCCAGCTGATCATAGTTCGGAAACTCAAATTTGAATCCCAGACTGCAAATCAAAGCAGCCGATTCTTCAACAACGCCGGCTGAATGATGCATGGCCCCTGCATGTAGATCATCTTCTGAACGGATTGCCTCACTGAGCACAAGAAGGGAAGCCACTAAAGAAAAGGTGGGAGCCATTGCACTAAAGCAAACTCCTACGAGTTTTGGCAAACGCGAAATCTGGATGCACGATGCAACGTAACAGGCTTTGAACCCACAGGGCCACAGTATGCCACACTCGTCCTTGCCCTGTGATATTTTCTTGCCAACTCACCCAAACAAATCCACCAAATGCATCGCACAACACCTGAGTCATACCTGAATCTGCATGACAGCGACTGTGCAAGAATCTTCAAAATTCAAAACTTGAATGTGTTTGATTGAAGAGCAGTGGCTTCAGCCCATCCTTACTCTGATAATCATCTGATATGTGAAATTAAGAGCATTGGGCAGTGGTTTGCCAAATATCTGCATATGTCTATATATATATGTCTGCATATCAAAGCTACCCTAGTTACACAAATTGAAGTGAGCTTTAAGTCTTGAGTTTGTCACAGCACGCACGGTCTTGCCACCTCTGTTTTTCTCCATCCCGGGAGGAACAACTGACATTGGAATCCATGTGAGATCGCTTTGGATGCTACATTTCAACTCAGCAAGTGATCTCGAGCTTGTCATTCTTTGCAGTCAGTTTTTTGCCTTCAAATGCCTTCACGGCTGCATTGGGGACCGCAGGCACGTTGTTCAACTTGGATTCCTTAAACTCTTCTGGAGGCGCCACAGAAGCAGGCGAGACACAGGACTCTGGAAGCCAAATGTCATTGTCCAGGACGCCCATGACTTTTGCGTTGCACTTCTCGGTGCATGTTGCGGTAGCCTTGCCCTGTTTGCATGTTTTGGCAGCTGCGCAGCATGGGTGTTCCTGGTCTGCCAGCTGATCATAGTTCGGAAACTCAAATTTGAATCCCAGACTGCAAATCAAAGCAGCCGATTCTTCAACAACGCCGGCTGAATGATGCATGGCCCCTGCATGTAGATCATCTTCTGAACGGATTGCCTCACTGAGCACAAGAAGGGAAGCCACTAAAGAAAAGGTGGGAGCCATTGCACTAAAGCAAACTCCTACGAGTTTTGGCAAACGCGAAATCTGGATGCACGATGCAACGTAACAGGCTTTGAACCCACAGGGCCACAGTATGCCACACTCGTCCTTGCCCTGTGATATTTTCTTGCCAACTCACCCAAACAAATCCACCAAATGCATCGCACAACACCTGAGTCATACCTGAATCTGCATGACAGCGACTGTGCAAGAATCTTCAAAATTCAAAACTTGAATGTGTTTGATTGAAGAGCAGTGGCTTCAGCCCATCCTCACTCTGATAATCGTCTGATACCTGGATCTTCGAAAGGATACAAATAAGTGTCCGTTTCCAAGATTTCTGCCCTTAGGGCGGATTTCTTGTGAAGGAGCTGGAAATGGTCACTTTTTGATTATTGTGGTTAATTTTGGATTTCGTGCCTTTTGGGCTGATCTTACTCTACTTTGCGTAAAAATGTGTCGATTTTTTTGGGCGGAAATTCCCGGGGAAAAGGCGGAAATACCCGGGAAAAGGGCGGAAATACCCGGGCAGATTCATCATGACTCAAAAATGAAAACATGAAGTGGCATGTTTTTTCTTGAAATTGTCATTTTTATTTTGAAATGGGTAAATCTCCAAAAAATGGTCAGAAATCAAACCAAAATCTGCCCTGGAAAGAAATTTGTAACCAATGAATATCCAGGTATGTGAAATTAAGAGCATTGGGCAATGGTTTGCCAAATATCTGCATATGTCTATATATATATGCATATCAAAGCTACCCTAGTTACACAAATTGAAGTGAGCTTTAAGTCTTGAGTTTGTCACAGCACGCACGGTCTTGCCACCTCTGTTTTTCTCCATCCCGGGAGGAACAACTGACATTGGAATCCATGTGAGATCGCTTTGGATGCTACATTTCAACTCAGCAAGTGATCTCGAGCTTGTCATTCTTTGCAGTCAGTTTTTTGCCTTCAAATGCCTTCACGGCTGCATTGGGGACCGCAGGCACGTTGTTCAACTTGGATTCCTTAAACTCTTCTGGAGGCGCCACAGAAGCAGGTGAGACACAGGACTCTGGAAGCCAAATGTCATTGTCCAGGACGCCCATGACTTTTGCGTTGCACTTCTCTGTGCATGTTGCGGTAGCCTTGCCCTGTTTGCATGTTTTGGCAGCTGCGCAGCATGGGTGTTCCTGGTCTGCCAGCTGATCATAGTTCGGAAACTCAAATTTGAATCCCAGACTGCAAATCAAAGCAGCCGATTCTTCAACAACGCCGGCTGAATGATGCATGGCCCCTGCATGTAGATCATCTTCTGAACGGATTGCCTCACTGAGCACAAGAAGGGAAGCCACGAAAGAAAAGGTGGGAGCCATTGCACTAAAGCAAACTCCTACGAGTTTTGGCAAACGCGAAATCTGGATGCACGATGCAACGCAACAGGCTTGAACCCACAGGGCCACAGTATGCCACACTCGTCCTTGCCCTGTGATATTTTCTTGCCAACTCACCCAAACAAATCCACCAAATGCATCGCACAACACCTGAGTCATATATATATATTATACATTATATTATATATAAAATATGATATATATATATATATTATGTTATATATATATAAACTATATATATATTATATCTTATTTATATATAGTATATAATATATATATATAATATAATTTATTATATATATATATTATTATATATATATTATATATATTATATTATATATATATATTATATATTATATTACTATATATCTATAGAGTATAGTCATAGTTATAATTATAGTGACTCTAAACATTCATTGATGGCAATCCAAAATTGGCACATCTGGGGGTAGCGCGTCATAGATGTGAAGCAATACCGGCATGCGCCGCGGCGCTAGCTGCTCCAGCGACGGCAGGGGGCTCACTGTCCTGAAGGCCGAGCCGCTGGCTTTGAAGGATAAGAAACAGCTGGTTGTGATGATGATGGTGGGATTGATGGTTAGTAGGGCTAGTAGCGGGTTAATAATGGTAAATTGTAAATAATGGTTAATAGTGGTTAATAATCTAATAATGGTTAATAATGACTGAGGATGAGGATGAGGATGAGGATGAGGATGAGGATGATGATGATGATGATGGTGATGATGATGATGATGATGATGATGATGCTGATGATGCTGATGGTGGTGGTGATGATGATGATGATGATGATGCTGATGCTGATGCTGATGCTGATGGTGGTGGTGGTGATGATGATGATGATGATGATGATGATGCTGATGCTGATGCTGATGCTGATGGTGGTGGTGGTGGTGGTGATGAGGAGGAGGAGGAGGAACAAGAACCAGAACCGGCAACAAACACAACCAGAACCAGAAGCTCAAGTGACGGTGGACTGTTCTGACCTCATGGCTGTCCGCGCAAAGTCATCGGCAGTTGGCATCAGCTGCTTCCATCCTGATGGCTGTTTCCCAAGCAACGAAGCAATTGGATGCTTTCGTTGCCGCAACAAACTCTAAAACCATGTGCGAAATCCCCATCAAGACGCAGAGAATCATTTGTTCACACATTGTCATATCTGTATAATGTCTCAACCTTTTGGGGCACATGAACCAGAAACAGCCATTGGAACAACTACTTTAGAAGTTCACCATCCCCATGCTGGGAAGTCGGCAAGGCAGCTTACCTTTACAAATGTTTACGGTAAACAGATTTAATTTGGATCATGGTCCATATGGGACTCTAGTAAACTCAAGGCTGAAGCGTCCGCCAGTTGACGCAAAAATGGATGGTATATGATATAATGTATTATATATATATAATTTAATATAATATTATATTATATATCAGATTATATCATATATTATTAGATTATATTATGTATTCAATCATCCCCTACGAAATGACCCAGGTTTGCCAAGGGCCCAGCCTTCCCCCAAGTCACCTGGCAGCAGTCTCCCGCGAAGCTGAATGATACCATGCATGTATGTTGCTGTGTATTCACCTAGTATTCACCTACATGAATTGGTGATTTCTTGGGTCATGTAATAATGCCTTGGTATAGGCATAGGTAAAATATAATGGTTCAGTGAAGGTATTAATAAGCTTATTTATCTTTATTGTGTGACAATCTTCGGCTGGATCGTTCACTAATTCTGCTGGATAGTACAGTGATGTTCGCTGTTTTGGTAAGCAGCTGTCCACCATCCACTAATCTCTCGCGACTGGATTCCGATGATTCGGGCATCGCTGACCGGGACAAAAGTTGATCGATATGGCTGATGGCGCTGTCCTTTAATCATTTAATCATATTTAATCCATTCGTGACAAGGATTTTGGGACATTTGGGACATTGTTTCCTGATGTTTCCTGAATTTCTTCGAAAGGTTTGCCCTTTTGCTCTCAGGGGCCGCACCTGCACTTGGATCTGCCGGCGATGCAGCCTCTCTGAGTCCTCAAGGATACGGACCAAGTCTCGAAGTGACGATGAAGTTGGGGAAATCATGTGGTAAAGAGACTCATGGTCATCGTAACTGTCACATCCAATTCATCCAATTCTGACTCTTTGAGGTTATAGAATGTTGTAGATGGTAGATGGTTATAGGTTATAGACATACCATGACATACCTCGGATCAAATCGGGGCTTAGACCGGCTTGCTGCACTCCTGGCTGCCTTGACGCCGGCAACGACACCGTCTCGTCCTAGGCTCAATAACTGCACTAGCACTACCATGGTGGATAAATGTGAAACGGGTAAAATGAGACTTTTAGGGTCTTTCATCGGAAGTAGATCACCTTCAGTATGTTTTCTCTCCCCAGTTTAGGGAAAATCAGGGTGGAATACAATGGATTATCCATTTCTCCTTGATTGCAAAATATCGTCGAAATTCGCAATCTAATGCCGATTTCCCATGAAAATAGCATGGTTATGCAAGGTTTCTATCCGATAATCTATCTATCACCTTCAATGAAATCCATAGGATCCCCACCTGACTGATCTGATCTGGGAGATCACAGCCTCATGCCACGGCGAGGCGTTGATGGTCATAATGGGGGAGTTTTACAATTTAAGCAACAAGACTTGGTGCGATGTTTGAACAATGTTCTACTATCAAAAAACACAAGTTGTCAGTTATAGTTATAACTTATAACTTATAACTAACTTGTCAGTGAATGAAACAGTACTATAGAATATAATGGACACCCCCAATGGGTGACTCTTTTTAGGTGGAAGGCATTTACTCTCCCGTAGCCATAGCTGCTTCAACTCATTCAACATGGACATGTGAAAATCCCTACACTGGGAAATTTTGCCTTGCCATGTGTGTTTTGACCAGAGGAAATTCACCAACTATATGGAAGACCTGGGAAAACTTATATGCAAGCGAAGCCAGGTTTAAGTGAAAAATGGGCGTTGGCGTTGCGGCACCTAATCTTTAGAGCAAATAGTCGCAGAATTTGCATAGACAGAGAAACCGAATTAGGAAATCTAAAACCTTTGGTTAGTCATGGTTGTTGCTGGTTGTTCATTGAAAATTCCATTCAAAGGCCAGAACTGCTATGCGACCCCCACTGGTAAGAAACAATGACATCATTGGATTCCCGGTTTTTGTTTCTAATTGATCTCAATGTTTGATGGTTAGTTGACATAATTGAAATCCCACTGCCTTGCTGTCGATTTCTGTTCCCATGCTCAATCTCCATGGGCCCAGCCCTTCACTGAGCCCATGGGCGAGGCAACAGCGCCGAACGCATCCAACCTCGGGCACCCTCTTGTGCCTGTGCAGTGGGCAGTGGCAGAGACACAAGGCACATCAGAAACTGGGTTGATGTAAGGGAAATTCTGGCGAGGTGTTTACCTCCGCACCGGACCTACCAACAAAAAACATGAGCCACAGCCATGCAAAGCTTCCCGCCAGAAAGAAGAACTAGAATGAACCTGGGGCTCAAAAAATGAGCACGGGAGAAATATGAAGGAATGATCCAACATTGAGTGGACCTGTTCCGCTTTCAGGCCAGTGGCTCAGAGGATTGATGAACCCGGCTTTGAAGCGGGGCACCCTTGACAGAGTGATGCTTTGGGAAATATGTGGATACAAAATGATACAAATCAAATTTCGTGTGCAATTTCCAAGGCAGAACGAAATCGCTCGAGAATTATGATTCCCATTAAATCACAATCATTTCCCATTAAATCACTACTAATTAAATCCCATCAAATCACTATAGAACCCCATATTGATAGATTCACTTCTAACTTATATCCCACTAAATATCCCATTAAATCATTAAACCCCACTAATATCCACTAATTAAATCACTATGAAATCCCACCATATCCCACCCCAACCCAGGATCTCTGCCTGGTGCAGCTCCGCCATCTCACCGTTGAGGCTCAGCATGGCCGAGCGGAGGTTCGGGCGGCCCCGATCCCACAGCATCTCCGGTCCCGCAGTGCCTGGGGGGCGCTTGAAACCAGGGTTTGACCATCCTGTTCCATGGTTTTTTCCCATCAAATCCAATGTTTTGTTGAATGTTTCCCCCATCAAATCCAATGTTTTGTTGAATTTTTCCCATCAAATCCAATGTTTTGAATTTTTCCCATCAAATCCAATGTTTTGTTGAATGTTTCTCCCCCATCAGAACCAAGTCGGGTCCAAAAGGTTTTTGTTCTCATCTTTATTGGGATGATGCACAGGAAATCTACAGCAAACCATATGTTTTCTGCAGACCATAGGTTTTCTGCAGGTCTTCCCCGCTAAGATTTGGATGATTCTGTGTATATATGTATAAATATATTATATATATACAGTATATAAGTATATATTATTTCCCTTAAGTTAAATCCTAGACTTGGTCTAAGGAAAAAAGCAGAGGGCAACATTTGGATTTCATGGGAAAAACATTGGAAAAACCTTGGATTTGATGGAAACAAAAATTGGAAACACATCACATGCTCTTGAAGGCAAGCAATCCTGACCCGTATCCAAAACGTTTCAAATGTTAACGTAAAATGAATCCAACAGTCAACATATGTCAACATTGAACTTGAGATTTCGATGGCCGTTGGAAAGCGAACATGATTTTGGAGCTCCGGCGACACACCCGATCAATGGGAATTCCAAGATCCTAAAATGGAGGTACTGTACCATATAAGGCCATATTTTGTGGTGATATTCACTTACATAGGCCTTATATAGGCCTTATATATGGTAGGTACCTCCATTTTAGGATCCTGAAATTCCCATTGACCGATTTCGGTCGTCATAACTTCTGCCCCAACTGGGCATCCGGCTTTCGTATCCCTCGGTGCCTGCACTTTGATGGCTCCCGGCGTTCCTGGGGATCATCATCCCAAGGGGAAGCCGTGGCATGAAGCGCGTTGTGAAGCCATATTGCTGCAGTTCATACTATCATATTCCATATTCCATGCTTACATAATGATGATCATTCTCATTGTTTCTTATCAAATGATGCTTTGACTATCATTATTCTTACTATGATATATTGATTAATATCATTATCAATAACAAATTGAATGCAATTCGATTTAACAAACCACCAAACCACCCGTCAACATGGAATGGCTATCCTCGTCGTCGGCGGCACATCAAGCGCCTGTGGGTCTCCAAGAATTGGTGCGGCACATGACCCCGCTGAAAGCGGACCAGTACCGTGAGGGAAGCATGTGGGAAAATATGGAACAATGATGTGAAAACTATGGAAAATGATGGAACATGAGTGAAAATGATGGATGAAACATGGATAAATCATGATAAAACATGGTGAAATTATTGGATGAAGAGTGCTGATGATGGTTGCAGTGAGTTCAGAATCTCAGGATGATCGACAAATAGGTCACAGTTTTTGACAACACATTCTGGATTATGCTAACAGAAGCATACCACATCACGAAGACTTCGTATTCCGCGGTGTTTCACCTGCAGTCTTGCTTCCCACTTTACGCTCCGCACCTGTTGAAGGTGTTCTGCCAGCATCGACAAATCCTCGGCGCGGCAGTTGACAGCCCCATCCCGTTTCGGTCCGCGGACGGCGCCTCAGAAGCAGAGGCAGGAGATGTCTCAGCGTCAACGCCTGCAGAGTCGAAGTATGCTCCGAAAAGCTGGGATGGTTTCAAGTGGGACGGGTGTCTCCTAAAGATACGAAACTATGTCTAGTCTATATCTGTGTTTTCTGGGTCATTCTGGGTCTTAAATTCTTGACCCTTGTCCATAGTGGAGGCCTAGGAGACAAGGGCATCAATATCTATCTACCTGTAACGGTGAGATTTATCAGTAACACCGACAAGCAGCAGTGCAGGGCGGCCCTCAGCACATACCAACCATGAAATGAAAATGAATGAAAATAACAAAAAGTTCCTGAATGAACACATTTTAATATCACGTGACAACCAACAGAACCAACAAATTCAGGTGACATAATATTATATATATAGCGCATACATCAGCATACTGCCTTTCAGAGCGGAAAACCTCAGCAAACTAACTCCAAGCCCTGGCTCGCCGCATTTTTGAAAGCACAAAGAACAAATCTACAACTGCCAACACATCTTGCGATTTGGAGCTTTGCTTCCAAGATCGTTGCTGCTGAAAAAAAGCAGCCGAGTTGGGTGAAACTGCTCTGATGCCTCTGCATCTACCTCTTGTAGTTGATCCTGGTATGATTACGATACAATCCGGCATATTTCTCTGCATTTCAAGGCATTTGAACAATTCTTGGATGAAACATGCGATATGACTTACCAGCAATCATCGAGGCACCAGCAATGGATCATCAAATGAAACCCGAAACCCAGAACACGTCTGGAGCTGAGGTCCACGGTGGCCTACAGCCTGTGCCACTGATAGATGGGGTACTGTAACTGGTAAGTCATATGTAACTTATATGGCCCATAACTGCCCATGACCAGGGTTATCTACCAGTTTAATTGAGTTTTATCATTGAGGATCAGCATTAGTCATCATCCTGGATAGATCTGGATAGTAGTGGTTTATGATGGTTTATGAAATTGGGCCCTACCTAGGGACTTGGCATTCTCCGTATCCTGGCTTCATTTATCCCAGCATATACTCTATGGTTGCTTTGTTATCTCAATACCCCATGATTTGCGATGGTCATATGCTACATTCTTTTGTCATATTTTGTCTTGTTTTGTCAACATATGTCAACATTACGTGTTTCTCCTGAGCATTATATGGGCATTATTATCCATATCCCACATATTCCGCACAAAGCTACGCAGCCCACAACGGAGCCCAAGAGCGCGATTCACATTGCGATGTTGGGCAAGGACTGTGAGAATGACATGGAGCGCGTGGAACGCCTCCGCAGCCTTGGGTGTGGACAATGGGGAGTGTATATATATATATATATCTAACAATATAATCATGTAGGCAACATATGGCAACATTTCTCTCCCTATATAATGTAGATATATAAATATAGAAATATATAGACTATATTCATGTTATGCATGTGTAATTATATATGATATTATATATATATGTGCGTGTGTGGGTACTGTATAATGTATATGAACCATATTTATATACGTTTCTATAAGTGCGTGGGTTACAAGTGCGAAAACCAGATTGAGGTGGTACCCAAAAGAGAATGATGTGATGTTGGCATGACAGTCAGCGGTACAAAAATGAAAAAAACAAATATCACATTTATATACATTTACTGTATCCATATGTGACATGGAGATAACTTGAGATCACGTGTGTGTGTGTGTGTGTGTGTTCATCTATATTCCACCCACCAATCCCGCGGGCTGACTGCGGAGTAACAAGGCTGTCTGCTGACGCTTGAACCTTTGTTCCATCTCTATCAGAGCATCAGCGATGTCACCTAAATCATTCCAGCGACGTTTTGTGGGAGCCTACAAAAGCAAAAGAACTGTTATGGGGTGTTCTTCAAATCGAGGGTATAGACTAAACCACGTGGTTTCAGTACTAAAATAATCCAAACTTGGATGATTTGAAGGTATTCCTACTTTCAGAAGCTACCAAGACCATGGGTAGAAGCAACATGCCCAACAAGAACAAGAGAATGATGCCGAGAGTATTGTCACGACAGCCAAGTGCAGCTGGCAACCTGCGAACAAAACTAGCAGGTCATGGCAAAATCATGGCACACGGTGAATCCTGCAACTGCTTGGTGTGCAGGATAGGGCTACAGTATGTTGAAAGACTCAAGTGGCTTCCAAGCGATGACTTCTTCTAAGAACCCTGTGCACTCCAATATGCATCCACATTGCCAGTTCTCAGTTGCCAGTTGATTTACCACTTCACCACAAAATGTCACAAACTATCCGCATCAAGTTGGTTTACCTCAATATCCGCATAGATTTGCGTTGCCGGTGCCAAGCTGCTGTGCCCACGCGTCTCTGCATAGTACTTGGTGCTCTTGGAGAGCTCGTTGCCGCCCCCAAGTCTCAGGAGGGCAACTGAGAACCATTCGCGGGGAACCCAAAACACACAAATACACACACGCATGTATAATAATAATAATAATAATTTTATTTATTATTATTATTAATATATATATATATATAACGTATGTATGTATATACTATTATATACAGATATATATATATATAATTATTAAATATATGACACACACATGGCCATTAAATTATCGGAGTTAGATCCCAGCTTGTGAGGGGCTGTCTATAGGGCTATGATATGTTATAACCCGATGGATCCACGGCAGGAAACGCCATGAGCGTCTCCACGCACTTGTTGTTGCCGCGCCGTGCCGCTTCGTGCAACGAGGGATGCCCCGAGAAGTTCTTCACCTGCGACGATGGGCCTTCTTGGTGCTGCATCCCACGGAGGGTTAGGACCATACCAGGTATTACAACCCAGTCCCAGTATTTTTATGGGATAATATACATATAATATATTCTATTATGTTACATTACTTACATTATATTATATTATTACTATATTACATGTGTTTCATATTATAACACATATATATATATCATATTATATTGTATTTTTATATTATATCAAATAATATTATATCATATTACATATATATATACATTTATAAAAACATATTATATATCATATTATATCATGTTATATTATACGTATAAAATTGTTATATGTGATTTATATGTGTATATAATTGTATTAATATGGGTTATGAAGCACTTCCCAACTGGGATTCGCACATCCAAGTTGTCCCTTGGACGAAGTATGAAAACAAGGGTCATCCACTGATTTACCCTCTGGTAATGACTAACATAGCTATTGAAAATGGCCATTTATAGTGGATTTTCCCATGAAAAATTGTGATTTTCCATAGTTATGTTAAATTACCAGAGGGTAATTTCACTGGGAGTTTCTCACCCCGCCCATCCCAGCAGTTTTTGAATCACCTTGACTCTACCCAGGCAATTCATCCAAACTTCCTTCCCAACGAAAAAATGAGAAATCAAATGTTGACGACACAAGCTATATACCCTCTGGTTATTTAACATAGTCATGGAAAATTACCATTTTTAACAGGTAAACTATAAATGGGCTATTTTCCATGGCTATGTTAAATAACCACAGGGTAATTAAAATGATGACAATAAATGAAATAATTCACATAGCACTTGTGGTGACTTTCCCCACCCCTCTAGCCTTGACTAAGTCTGGCAGTTTCTTGGCCAACGTCTTCACGCAGTTCTCTTGTCCAAAGCGCGCAGCCAAGTGCATAGCCGTGTGACCATCCATACCTCCCGTTGGAAACATCGGTGATGTTCGGGCTGTTGCCATGGAACATGGTCCACCTATAGATGATTTCCCTGTCAAAGGTGATGTTCAATCAATATGTTCAATCAATATGTCATATTACCTAATTAAACGTATTGATGATGTTCAAAGGTGAACATTCAAAATGGTAATCAATATGTTCAATCAAATTACCAAAGGGTATTCCAAAACAAAACCCCTCATGATCAATCCACACTTTGGGATCCTGCCTAGGGATGCCGGAAATGTGTTTGACGCCGCTGGTCATGGTGTTCTTATTCAAATAGATCTCTCTCTCTCTCTCTTAATGAATAATGATGTGTAGTCATTACCAACAAGAACATGTCCAAAAATAGGGTTGCCTAAAGATCCACTACTAGAAAAATCATTTTCCCCAATGACATTTGCTATTTGGGCATATGCACCCCGGTAGTTTCACAAAGCTATATATTGAAAATTGCTCTTTATAGAGCAGACTTACCTATTAAAAATGATGATTTTCCACAGCTATGCTACGTTCGTTGAGGGTACCTGTTCAACCACAGCCGCTCCCCCGGGCACTTTGCGTCGTCATGAGCTTTTTGGCCATGTGCGTTCGAAGCCTTGGCTTCCCCTTAAAAACGTGGGCCAGATATTCCAGGTACCTACCAGGACACTGCCGAAGGATTTAGTATGGGAAACTATATATACAGTATATACCCTCTGGTAATGACTAACATAGCTATTGAAAATGACCATAGAAATAGTGGATTTTCCCATTAAAAATTGTGATTTTCCATAGTTATGTTAGTTTACCAGAGGGTAACTTATGGATGTTACACCAATTTTAGCAATGACAGCCCCCCATTTTGTTCGAGAGTTTTTCCGGACAACATGGTGATTTTTTCCACTTCGGCCTCACCTAAGCTAACATAGCTTATAGATGGCCCATTTTGTTCGTTGATTTACCTATTGAACATGGTGATTTTCCAGAGCTATGTTAGTTTACCACTTGAAGGGTATATCATCCCATATATATATATATATAGGTTGCTTGGGGGTTCTGGGGGGGGCGCTGAGCATATATATAATATATATATATACATATAATGTTGAATCACCATGTGTAGTATTTCTTAGTGGTTCAATCAACATTTCCCATTATATCCTGGACCCCTGGGCCTCCCAGCAAGATATTCAAACACTTTCGGTGGCCGTTGACGCTGGCCAAGTGCAAGGCCGTTCGCCCAGTGTTCGTCACGGCGCCGATGAACCTGGAGCAGTTGAGGGCTTTCCATGGTAAAACCACGGGCTGCAAATCGTATGTGGTGAAGCATGGTCTATCTTCGTAAGATTCATGGAAAAGTGTAGCTAAATTCATCATCAATGGTTCTTAAATCGACATTAATATTAATAAGGGGAACAATCAACAATAATAATACTGCTAGTATTATGTATTATTAATATATGTAAATCGTATACTGCATATCTTTCAACAATTGGGGTTGTGTAGTTCTGGAAAATGTCCCATGCAATGCCTAGATGCAGGCAGCTGAGTCCCAGCGCCATGCCGGAGAAGGTATCCACATTGTCAGGTTCCCCGGTTGATTGGCTACCCTCTGGTGAACTAACATAGCAATGGAAAATCACCATTTTTCATGGGAAAATCCACTATTTCTATGGCCATTTTCCATTGCTATGTTAGTTCACCAGAGGGTACCCTGTATTGTGCAAAAACTATTTCTAGTGGATGTTCCCATCTTTCTGCATCTATTTTTGCAAATGGATTCTAAATGATTCGAGGCTGAGACCCAAGATGTTCCACGAAAACGGCCACAACTTATGGCGAAATATCCCATTTTCTTCAGATACAGCGGGCATAATCGCATAACCATTTTCGGCCAAACACTCTGGCGCTTGGCTTGCAGCCGACATCAGTAGGCGGCAGCACTCGGCCTAGCGGCATTCCGGCTGGCTAATTATTCCAGTTGGAAAGATTGTAACCATGATGTTTTCCAACGATATCTGACATGTTTTAAGTGTAAATGCTATCAAACATATCTTTGGCACGCTTGCCAACCACATCAGTCGACATCTTTCTGGAATGATTCCCACTCCAACAACTCGGCCATTCCGTGGCCATTTCATGGCCATTTCTTCAACGGTACCAAGGCACATGGCCATTGTGAGCTGCATAGTGCAGGGCCGTCCAGCCGATCTTGTAGCTCTTGGCGCTCAGGAGCTCCAGTAGGACCTGGACAAAAGAGAAAGGATTGTCATAGTCATGGGGAAAATGGCCAATAGTGGTTAATAATGGTTGGGAATGGTTAGGAATGGTTAAATAAATTTAAATTTAAATAATTAATGGAATATTAATGGTCAACAACGGTTGACATGGGAAAGGATGGTCAATTGCCCATCTCACCCTCCCTTGGTGTTCTGCCGGAGCAGCCTCTCTTGGCGTCTGCCGCATTCCCAGCAATTCCTCAAGGGAGGCGTGATGTCCTGCCAAGGATGACATCGCTGGTCAAAATGAACCAATGATAAACAATGACTTGGGAGACATGCCAAAATTGTTCCAACCAAAACCTGTCAGTGTAAGCTAAGTGGACAAGTCCTTCCATGTTGTGGCAGCCTTCCAAAGTTCTGTAGTTGGTCAATGTCAATGGCATCGGTTGAATTGCATTCCTACATGATCATTGTTTTTTTTGTTGTCCGAATGAATCACAATTCTTGCAAAGGCAGTAAGGCGGCCCTGGATACTCAGCGGTTTGAAAGGATATGGGAGCTGGAAGGCAAACATATCAAATCGGCAAAAACACAACAAGACTGAGAACCAACAATCCTCAACAAAGGATACAAGATGAGGAATTCGATGTGTCGGCAGACAAACTCTCAGAGTTGGTCTGAGTTGTTTTTTCCAGGAAACGACTAATCTTGAGATGATAACCCCTATGTCAGATCATCATCCCAAATATGGTCATAAAAAATAGTTGAAACCACCAAGCATGCAGTAGCCCCTCCATGTCTAATTAAGTTACGTAGTTTATAAATCCCATTAAACCCCATTAAACCCTAATGAATCCCATGAAATCCCATGAAACCCGATTAAACCACATTAAACCACATTAAACCACAATAGTTCGAGTTTGCCCCGGGCCCCGTCCTTCCGCAGCAGCGCAGTGGATGGCTGTCTGACCTCGGAAGTCCCAAGTTGACCTACTCAATCTGCATATAAATATATCATCATATATCATCATATGTCTATACAGTTCTGTAATCCTATAAAACTATATATATATATATTTATATATATCCTTATTTCAACGTACACATATTCTCTATGCACAGCTCCCTGAGTTATCAGCGGAAAAACATATTCCTACCGGTTCCCGCCTGCACGATCCTTCTCAGCCATCACCTCCGGCATGACCCGAAGCAACTCCTTGATGCAGTAGGCCCTGAGCCGGGCATCGGTTGAAGTAAGTGGTAGCTATCAATGGCCGTTGGATCAGCAGCATCATCATGATGAATCGTAATCATAATCATCATCGTCATCGACGTCGTCATCGTCATCGACGTCATCATCATCATCATCATCACCATCATCATCATCATCATGATCATGATCATCATCATCATCATCATCATCATCAAAAGTGATAGCAAATCACTAATTTATTATGACAACTACTAAGCCACCAATTCCCCGTGCCTCCCGTACCATGCGGCTTCGTGCAAGGCGGTCTGGCCGCGCTTGCCACGATACCTGGGAAAGTTTGAGAACTAACGACACCCACAACTTCTGTGATAATGAAGATTTATGATAATTATCATAATCAGTCATAATCTACATATGAATACACATACATACATATATATATATTAGTACAATAAATAATTTGTTGTTTGTTTATTGGTTTATTGAGTAATGACAACGATAGTTGATGGGATCCAAGGCATGACGATGGACTCAAACCGCAACGACAAGCTGCGATGGATCCGCCCCCTTCTCCAGCAAGCGATCCAGATCCGACTTCCGGTCATCCTCGCGCGGCCAGTCCCCACATATGACATGGGATTGAAAATGGCCATATCATCCAAGAGGAAAATCACAGAATTAAACTCTTCCACACTCATCCAAAGTCCATGTTTGGGGCTGCGGGCTCCAGAAAAAAAATGGGACGTGTAAGCTACCAATGAAGTTTGCATCATAGGGCTGTCTCCAAGGTGACTGTCCTTGATGGCCAGATGCAACGCTTCACCCAAGTCGACCCGGACCTAGGAGAAGGACCCAACGTACGGGAGGCTTCGGTGAAGGTCTGGCCGGATATCGTTGGCAGTTCCACATGATTCTCTGTAGGTTGTGTACAGAAACCATTCTGATTCATGGTATCATATGGTATCATATGGTATCCTAGATTTCGCAATGCCGACAGTTGTCGTCGCTCTTGGGAATGACGTCCACCATGTCACCTCCAAGCAAAGGATGATGCAAATCCAACATCTATTGAGCACGTTGTGGAATGTGGTAGATGCTTTATGGATATCATCCCTCTTAAAATGATGGACAATCGGTGGCCATGTCAGCATTGGAGGGTCAAAGGAAGGGGTGATCAGAAGCAACATGATTACCCCTTTGAAGGGGCCTGGAAAGGGTTGGTAAGGAGGTCAAAGTTTCGAGTACTTTGGGATCTTTGGGGCGAACCAACAGCCTGTAACCTGCTGATTCAAGACTGGAGACAAGCTGGACGTTCTCAGTTGCATGGTCAACTAAAAATCAGTTACAGCACACCTCAGCATACAATATCATAGAACAAATTGATATAAATGCGTTCACACAGCACCGGGTTATCTATCCTGTGGTTGGGAAACTCTTACGTACTAGTAGCTCCTTGCTCTCCAATGAATAGGTACTGCAGTCTGGATGCAATTTATACGTAGTTAAGTTATACTGAATCATGAATTACCTAGTTTCGCTTCACCCATTTGCCTTGGCTGCGGGTTTACCGCTCTGACCACTGCCTACTTTGAGCCATGGCTGCGATTTCGGAACGATGGGGCGCCCGGGTCCCTGTTTCCGGAACTGGGAAAATCGAGGTTCTAGAGTGAGAAGCTCAAACATCATCAGAATATAATATATATATATATATGTTCATTGATTGAAAGCCCATGAAGGATTATGTTCGGCTGGTCAAACACCTATCATCGTTCCCAGTTGTAGCAGTTCTGTATCTAGAATAAATTCCCATCTGGTGAAGCCTTTCCGCCTGGGATTGCATCGACATTAATCCAACCAATATTTGGTCACTTAAATTGCGCACGGACTGTCGGACTGTCGGATTAATCCATCCCATCATTTCCCGATCAAACAGTTGGTTAACCCACCAATGGATTCACCCAAGTACTACTGTAATTATCAACCATATCCCATTATATAATGTTCTTGCTTTGGCCGAACTTTCTAGGCTACAAATCACCCGTTATATCCCTTATTCAGTGCTTATAAATCACCTGTCTTTGTTGATCAAATCAGCTGTTCAGTCACTCATTTTCCTGGAAAAAAAGAAGTTGGATTCACTATTGAATTGTCCTGGAAAGAGTTTGCTTCCTGAGTTGGATGTGCATCCCACTTAGGATCCCTGGTTTATAATCCATATGGAGGTTAAATGGGGCTACCCCCAGTCATAATCCATTTCATTTTGGCATTTTCCATGAAAGAAACCATCCAGCTATTGGGGATCCCCGACCCGGAGCCTGCTGCAAGGTCACAGGCTGCGGCCTCGCCTGGTTTTTGTTTGCAAAATTTTCAGGGGGTACCCTCTGGATGTTTTTTTGAAGGGTGATGATTAATGGATGCTAATGGATTTTCAAGTGAGACATGTGTTTTGATAAATGGATTTTTAATTTCATGGATTCCAATGGATTCTAATAGACTTGAAGGGTTCATATGCTGAAATGACATTCAGTTGAACATGAGAATCACGAATGATAAGAATGGAACATCACCACATATCACCACCAAACTAGTATAAATTAAATGATGATGGTGCCATCCATAAACGCTCCGCTACTTTGGGAGCTTTAAAACATTTAAAACCCAATCCTAGCCATCCAGCGACGTCGCGACGCTACGTGAGGTCAGGTCGCTATAATTCATCCAGGTCTGTTGGAAAATCACAAAATAGGCAGATCTTTATCCCAGAAGTGTACCAGAAATAGGTGACACTATGGTGAATAGCGAATTCACCACAATTGGAGGATTATGGCATTGGGTTCGCCACATTAATTATGCAAATTAAGGAGTCAGAACAGGGTAGAATTAGGACGCCTCGAATACATGAGGGGAAATTCTTTGGATTTGACGTTGCTGCATGTGCATTGGATGTTGGCAATAAAATAACATTTGAAACAAGGGGGTTAATTGTTGAAAAATGTTTGAAAGTGGAGACTTCGACATGTAATTGGGATTATGACCGTTATGACTTATGAGGGGTTAGAACGTGGAGTACTTAGATTTATAATGATTTATAGACGTCTACGACTTCGGGTTGCACTGGGTTTGTGAACAGGCAAAGCGGCATCACAATTATTGACTTATGTTGGTTTGAGAATTCTACATGAAAGCATGGTCGTGCCATCAAAAACTAGCCAAATTGGATGGGGATGTGCTGTAGGATTTTCCATCGAACACATAGCATGGTCATGCAATCATTGGGAACACATTTGACGAGCATGTAACCTATAGGCTAATGCACATGTTTCCTATTTGCTTTTACCTCTCATACTTCAGCATCGTGGGTATTTAAATCCTGTTTAAGATGTATCACTGTATTATCACTGGAACTACTAGATGTTCATTCCCTAATAGTTGGTTATGAAATGTTATGAACATATTGTCAATTGCTCGGGTGTTTTGTGGCACATCACCCCTGGAACGATCTCTTGGAGCAAGACTGGATTCACCCCATGGCTATTTAAGGGTGGAATCCCAGCAGTTAATCCACCAGCGTTTCTCGGAAAATCACCATATGCCATAAACCAATGCCATAAACCACCCCCAATATTTCAAACATCATCACTATCACTAGCAAATCACATGTTGTTCATTCCATTCAATGATGTTCTTCCCCAGTAATAAATGGAAGGTAAACATCATCCCCAAACAAACCATTGCTTCATTCGCTAGGCCGACCAGTCCCAAGACTCCAAGGCACGGAGCCAAAGGAGGAGAAAAACCGTGAGCTCCGAGAGGTTGATACATTCACCTGGGAACTCTTGGATGACTTGGGATGACTTGGATGGGGCCATGGGCTCCACACACATGGTGGATTCTCTCTGTCCGATAAAAAGGAGCCACACATGGTGACATGGTGCATATCGAGCTAGAACTTTTCAGATAATGGCGATATCCACTGATTCTTGTAATGGATCGGAGTAACACGTGATGTAATGATGTGGGTGATATAACCCGATGGTTATACAGTACCCTAGCCTTGGTTTGCAAATATATGGCGGGTACTTTCTGGGAATCTCCCGTGGCAATGTCAAAATGCCTATTTCTTGGATGATCCAGAAATTCATCTGAAAATGAAGAACTTTGCTTGCCATGCTGGATTACCAAAGGGTGGTACCTCAGGTCTTCATCCACTAATATCCCAGTAGCTAGGGGTTCTATCATGTTACATCACTTATCAGTATATTTCCTAGCTGCAAATATGAAGGTCGGGATCATCATCTCAGGATGGCAAGATAGGAAAATATGAATGGACAACGAAATCACCTAAAAAATCCTATCATTGGATGATAACCATTGGATAATAGGAAAATATGGATGGTTATCCTCCAATGATTTAATCCCCGTGGTCATTCCTCCAATGATTTAACCCGTCATGGCTGAACCCCACGTAGATTTCCATGCTTCCAGGGTGCCAGCTTCACGATCTTGGCCCAGCTGAGAGGAAAATTTCCCCCAGAACCTCAGGCTATTCGCAAGCAGTTTCAGGGTAGGTGGGTATTCTGATGTGTGTCATTTTTTGTTTGCAGATTTCTCCAAATTTCTCCAGTCGTATTGGCAGTGCACTTACAAACACTTTTCAGCCATGCCGACATAGGGTTGAGAAAAATATCAAGTCTCAAAATCTCTAAAACATGTGGAGGCCAAAATCGTCTTGGATATTCTTGGCAACAATGCGTAGATTGCGGAAAACCATGATGATGATATTCCAGCAAAGACTGGTGGGTGGGGCCCCGCAAACCTCATCTAATCATGGGAATAACAAGAGCTTCCCCTACCCCAAAGGTCCAAAGGTGATACCTCCACTGCGGTGTTAACCAGCAACAAACGATCTTCCCAGGCCGAGGGGCTTTGGCACCTTGGATCTCAACTGCAGGGACTGAACCTTCCAGCACTGGCAGGTGGATCTTCACCCCCCAAAATGTGGAAATGATCTCAATATCATCCAGGAAACTGACATATCGAAAAATCACCATGCGTAAATCATGTTCCAAACGGGAAAGAACCATGGATTCCATATCAAGGGTTACAGTTTACCGGGGGACGGGATAGCCCCAATAAGGATTGATGATGGCTTTGTACGAAGCACCACCAGTACAGTACCAGCGCAGTACCAGTCGCATCAACATCACAAGGTGCATAATATTGCATATAATTTCACTCTTGAAACATTCCTGACACTATATACACATACGCATACACACAAATATATATATATATAATATATATCTCTCACTCTATCTCTATCTATTTTGTCTTAATATAACTACTGTATATGATATAATTTCACCATATGGGTGTGTCTGGAAATGGCCTATGTAAACCATTTAGTCGGACAATCGATCCGACGGCCTCCGCATAGAGCGTCGCCATGGGAAGCTCCTGGCCTCCAGCGGCCTGCATCGTGCAGCGGGCTAGTAGCGTTTATATTATACACACACAAACACACACACACACACATATATATATATATATATATGTGTAATTATAGATATATTTATATATATATATACTGTGACAGATGTATATATTATATATATTACTGATATATGTATACTGTAAATATATGTAAATATATATATATATGTATGTATATTACTGGCATATGTAAAATCGAAGGAAGTTTCGAAGTCAAACTTCCGACAATATGGACAGATGGAAAAGCAGAGGTGGGAAGAGTCAAAGAGGAGAAGAGCCGAATAGAGAGAAGATCAGAGAAGAGAAAGAGTGAGAAGAAAGAAGATGCAGGCGCGCGAAAAGGTAGAAGAGTCGCGATTCACGTTTTTTTCCAATGATTTGTGGCTCCGGAGGGTCAAAAAGTAGGCTCGCCAAAGCTGCGGGTGCGGAGTTATGTGGTCAGATGAGAGATGAAAAGTTGCACGCCGTTGTGGCGCGAAGCATATTTCCAAGTCCAAATGTCGAACGCACACCAACATCGGACCACTTTTGGAAGC